GAATCCGGGTGGGGAATTCTCAACCATCCCTCCCCTAATAATAATAAAAATGACAATGATAATAATAAAGATAATCAATTCTGGGCTGAGAGTCGATTTGCGGCTGCACCTACTCGCTTATGAAAAGGATGACAGACGCTGCTAGGAATGGACACGGCTGGGGTGTCTTGCGGATGACAGATGACAGCGAGTGGCAGGGAAGGATGAAGAAAACTCCGAAAGCCCTACGGAATAACTCAGACCCGGGGGAACCTTCACATCGTCTACGAGGAACTTCAAAGGATAGGAATCGGAAGAGACGATAAAGGAATCATTCTATGCACTAGAAATGAACTGGGTTTTTGCGTTTGGGAGGATCTTAAATCGGTAAATCGTAGATCGATCGGACATTTATGGTTCGAGATCACGTTCAATCACGACAGGACGAGCAACCGGTCGGAGGGAAGAGAATGGGGTTATTGTAAATAGAGAATTTGTCGGATGAAACGACTCCCAGTTCACGATAACGATTTTGGCAAAAGCCTCGTGAGTAAAATCGACAAATTAGCCGAGACACGAAAATAGGTTTTCTCCTTCGAGGAGGAGGATAGGATCAGAGAATCATCAGATCAGAGAACGAGGACTCAACTGACTTTTGGCGGGTGGAGTGAAAAATGGCTCATGAAGTTTCTCGAGGGGAGAAATATGAGATTCCGCACCTTGGTCATGATAACGATGTCTCCGAACGCCTTGGCAAGGATAAGTCGAAGGGGACGAACGAGATTTCCTCGGAGAATTCGAGATGGGAGAAACTGAGGGATCACCTGAGATGAACGACTCGAGTTCCCTTCGCACGCGCACGACACGGTAGCTAAACGAAGGAGGATTTTAGGCAGAATCCGGCTCTCCGCTACCGAGGGGAGCTCGCGCACAATCTGCCGTTGCATGCGGCACCGGTAAGACCCATTTAGAGTAATGTGATCGATTGTCGAAGCCTGCAACTAAAGCGATCCGACGGCGCTCGAGAGGGTTCAGAGGCGGGGCAGGGACAGGAGGTACGGAGACTTTCGAACGAGAGGCGGTTAGAAAATGGGACTCTCCTCTTTTCGCGGGAGAATGTTTACAAGAGGAACCTCATCCAGGCGTGCTTACAACATTAAAAGAATCGATACGGTGGAACGTGGTAGGTTTTTCAAACTCCAGCGTACCGGCAGAAGGAGAGGGCACGTAAACCTCATGAGACTCCGGTTGCAAAATGACTTCGTTACTCGTTGGGTCGTGAATGCATAGGTCGCGTTAGGTGAAGCCGTCCGTGCCCGTTCCGTGAATAGCTTCAAGATAGAGGCGCCCACAAAATCATCATCTGAAAGAGGGGTTCACCCATCTTATTTTACATGAACGTTCGACCTCGACTAGGGACGTTACGAAGGCATGCACGTCTCTTTGTGTCCTCACGTGGATTTTGAACCTCGAGCCTCTTCGCCCTTTCTCTCTCGCTTTATTACATTTAATTGTTTTATTCTTTCATTCATCTCGCGTTGTGTCTAAGTGAAAGTGGGATGCGAAAATTTTCGAAAACCTTGAGTTTAGTTATGAGGTTTTGCATAGTAAGGCTGTAACTAGGCACATTATACGAGGGGAGGTGCAAAAGTAGTGAGACTTTATTTAGGGGCGGGCAGAACTTTATTTATACCTTTGTCCGAATATAGTAGACCCTTTATTTCTCAATGTAGTCCTCCTGCCTCGATATACTTTTTTCCCATCTGTGGTTCCATTTATTGAAAGACAGACAACAAAATAAAGACAATAAAAGCACGAGTCTCACTACTTTTGCACCCCCCTCGTACATTGTAATTTCTTATAAAGGCGTTAATTGATTACGTGAGAAAATTTGATTAAACCTTACACCGCATCGTCTTCCCAATCGGGAACATACTGGGAATAATTTTTTAAATATAACATAGCTGAAGATCTACCGTTTGGCAAATGAGGAATTCCTGAAATATGTATCAATATAATGTTCCCAATTGATAATAACAAATATTTTTTACATGTATGTCTATTTCCAAGGGGAAACTTTTTGAGAATATTTGAGAATCCTTATGCAAGTAAAGATTTTTGGTCTTATTTCTATGCAATTCCAAAATTTGAATAAAGGCTATATCTCAGGTCATAAATTTGTATTTATTTACATATTTCAACAAGTTCTATCGATTGGAGTTTCTTTCTTCTCGCAAATTTCTTCCATGATTGCAAAAACCCAAAATGGCCATAAAATGACCTAATTTTAGCCTAAATTTGATAGAAAGTATCTTCTTTTGGTGCCTTTAAGAAATATGTAGGAAATTTTAATGTTTTCCTCCACGGTTTTCATATATCATGCAGTAAAGTGTTTTAAAAAATCTAGATTTCCGTAGGAGTGTGTTTCCTAACCGGTGCATCGTTCAGCTCAGGTGTGTCACGAGATTTCAGCTAAAAGAGAGGAGAAATACGTGGGTCACTCCGAAAGACTTTATCCTGGGTCATTCCACGCCAATTCGACCAGAGCATATGCTCGACCAGCACTGAATTTTTCGAAAATAGCCATACATGTAGCGGAATCGATTTAAAGAAACAGAGTTCAGTCAATTTTTTATATCTCCAACCAATCTCCCAATATATGCATTTAACTGGCGCCAATTTTTGGCTCCCTGTGTCCATATCGGAATTGAAGGGCTGAAAGGCCTGAAAGGTCTATCTGCAAAAAATTTCCGAAAAAAGTGTTGTGGGTTTTGTGCTCATAGGACCTTGTTCCTTTCATAGAAAATTATAGTTTTTTGGAATTAAGTAAAGGATGAAGTGATCTATCGATACATACCACTTTTTCTCACTTTTAACATGATGGTCACTGGAATATTCAATCATTCCGTGTGGAGCTTCAGGAAATAATTTTTTGCAGATAGACCACATTGCCTTTCAGCCCTTCAATTGTAAAGCTGTTTCTGCCATGAATTATCTTCTAATTAAGATAGAAGCTTCATTCTGGTGTCATTTTAATTGCTAAATCGCCATCTTTGAATTGATTATATACAATATAATCCACCAGCCAATACTGTAGGTAGCGGGCCAGCAACTGCATGTCCCCCTTGCCGCCACGTTTCCGCTTCCGGCAGAAATCCGCCAGCGTAGTGACTGGGCCGCTTATGGCCCACAATTTTTTCACTACTTGGTTAGCGCCCTCGGATGGCAGTGACTCGACCAAACGTTGAAATTGGACATCACTTGAGGATACTCCATAGGGTTCATCTTTTATGAGAAGCTTTTTTTAAACAGTGACTGTAACGAATGGATTTTTGATAGAGTCGTTGGTGTAGACACCCAGACGGTCTCTCGTCCTTAGCCATTCTTCCCAACGCATTCTTACCCACGCACAATGAATCTCTCTCCCCCCCCCCCTTGCACCTCCGATCAGCACCGCAGGAAAATTTTTGAGGAATCCAGTATGACGCCGGTAAGGAAAGGCTAGGAACCACTATTAAAGGGTCTGCTGTTTTTGACATTCCCTGAAAATATGGGTAATTGCATAACGAAATCCAGTATATACGAAGCTCTTAGACCAGGAGTGCTCAACATGCGAATCGCATTCCGGATCCGGACTGCCGACTTACATATGTATATGGTCATCTGGCCAGCATTTGCCATACAGCGCAGAACAAGATTTCTGACACTATTTGTAGGGATTTCCGAATTATGCCCAGAATTATTCCGCCACTTTTACCCCCTGAAAGTCCTTTACCTTAACACGCAGAGCTGTGCCTGTTCGTGCGGTTACCCACACCATGAGTGACGGCTAGAAGCCAAAATGGCGTTGAACAGAAGCGATTCAGAAGGAGCCTGAGGCAATGCCAAGAGCAAAAGTTGTGTGCGTCCGCGTCGCAGGTGAGGGTGAAGATGAAGCGCCTAGTTGAGCACAGATGAGAGGGGACAATCTCCAATCGTACTTGGCACCCTCTCGCAGGAATGGTTGAGCTTGTTGCACTGCCTTTAATAAGGACCTTTCCATTGGATTAAATGCACGTACAAAATGCATTTTCCATCTCAAATTAAATTCACAATAAATATTATAGAAGCAGAACTTAGGATGGATTTCTGAATGTAGAGTTTTGGGTGCAGCCTTAAATTTCCTATTCTCGCAGGCGATTTTTGAACATGCCGTGAATGGACTCAACGCTCCGGGGACAGCAGCGTAGCCAGGTTTTCGTCAATGGGGGGGCTAAGCGGAAAGTTGGGGGGATTAATTGGGGGCTAAGCGGAACGTTGGGGGGGCTAACTTCGCCTTGTCAGGTTGGGGCGGACGCATTTCGACCAGAGTTGGGGGGGCTTGAACCAAACTTGGGGGGCTGAAGCCCCCCCCAGCCCCCCCCCCCCCCCCTCACTACGCCACTGTCCGGGGAGCTGTCAGCACAGATGAAAAATGTTCCTCAAGTAGAAATTACGGTTACTGTCAATGGTTGCTCAGTGATTTTGAAATGTTGCATCCGTCCCAATGGTAATAAAAATCTATTGGCTGGGAAGAAGTTTCAAAGGTGCCCCTCTTACCTCTTAGAAATTCCCTTCATCTCATTTATGTCGACACCTCCATCCCACTCCAATAAATTTCGTAGCTAATCCTTCTCATAGAAATATATTAAATGCGACTTTATCTGACGATAACTGTTAGCTTTCGCGTTAGAATTTTACTTCCGGACCGCCAGACCTCCGACACTTCAGCGTAATGGACCACATGCTAGTTGAGTACCCCTGTCTTAGACAGAGTATGTGCACAAAGGAGCTTTATTTAAAAAGAAGTACTTTAGTAAACCATAATAAATATTTAGAAGCGCGAATGGAAGCCTTTGCAAGCAAAAATATTGAGCTACGGGTCCTGGGCAGACCATGCTGTTTCAATGGCTGGTAGCGAAGACTGTTCTCTCTAGTCGAGTCCCTGCGTGGATGGAGTCGAAGATGCCCAAGCACATTGAATGGCGGGGGTCCACGGTAGAATGTTCGTCTGTTCGTTCTTTTCGTGTTGGCTGTTTTTGCACGCATCCTCCGTGGGTAGTGGTGGTTTTTGGTCTTTTCACAATTGCAACAAGCATTCAAGCTTGTAAATATGAATAAATTTACATGAGAGACCTTTAGTGAAGGGAGGCAATTCATGTTGCCATTGTTGAGCTGTAACTGCTGTGTCAGCAGGAATGACAAGACATCTAAGACCTACTCTAGGCGCTAGCCTAACGTTAAACATACCCCCATGGACGCAGCCTAGGAAGCCCAAATTGGGAAACAGGCTTAATGCTAGACCTAGGTCTGCGCACTTTAAGGACAATGGTTTCATATGAGGGAATTCAGTCCCCGAAACTTTTCCGTATTTATTATTGAAGGCCTTCCTTTTGATTAGAACTATCAGGCAAAGGTGGTTCTCAGAGGTCTGTGTCCTACATGAAGAAAAGTTGTGGACTTACTCCATGGATTAACCTTTTGAGTATATCATTACCCAAAAAGTACAATAGTAAGTGTTGAACTATATGAATGCCCAATGAACGAGAGCAGAACTAGGTTTCATTTTAAAGCTTCCCTCTTTATCTCACAATATACCTAGTCAAAAAGAACATGCTCATGAGGGCTTTTGACTATTTGGGCTTGATCATGGCTAATTAAAATTTTGTTTTTGCATCAATAGTTTGGTTAGTAGTTAGTAATGCCTTGTAACACTTGTAATTCTTATTGTTTTTTGGGGGATTTTTCTACATAGATCCATGTCAGCTGAGTTTTCCTAATCTTTAACATGGCTGACTAAAATATGGAAAAATCAAAATGTCCTAGTATCTCATAGGTTGTAGTGATGGCTCCCTAACAGGAGAATGAGGTGTCACTGAAATCCTAAGGCATATCTAGTGTCATCATTTTCATTAAGTTGACGAGAAAAAGCAGCCATGCATAAATTAAGATATATCCTCATTTACTGTTGCCAGCACTTTTTTTTTGTTGTAGAAAATTCAGGATGATTTAAGACTTCCATATTGTGATAAAATAAATTTTATCAAACAAAGTACAGTAAAACTCAGTTTTGAGATCATTGAAGGGACCAGTAAAAAATTGTAATTGTAGCCAAGACTTCTTGCAACTAAGATTGCAATATTCCATATTGTGGAAAGAAAGGAATTCACATGTCCATGCTCACAACCAATGCTTGGTTTGCTTCTCTCATTTTCTATCAAATCAGCCTTTCCTTTCCATCATGAAGCTTGTCTCTTTTGTTTTTCAAAACCCTTGTCAACAAGAAGTATGAATATCAAATGGAAAATTATGATTAGCTTTCTTGGTGACTAGGGATTTTCACTCCATTCATTCTTTCAGCCTCTCCAGGAATACAAACTTTTGATTAAAAAAAATAAGAAAATTAGGGTTTTAAATTATAATTGCGCTAAGCAATGGAATTTTCAGTTATTGCAGAGCATATTGACAAAATTGGTATCATGGTAACATCACATTAAATTTGTCAGTGGGATATTATTTAAGCTTAACTGAGCTCACTCTAAACTAGGTATTATTGCTTATAACTTGGGGGCTTTGCACTGGGACCATGTCATGTTTGGCACTGAAACTGAGGTCTCATTATAACCAAGTTCACCTGTATAATCATTCCCTGGTATTCCTACATAAGTCCTAAGTGGGACTGTGCTTGACTATTGAGAGCTTGTGTGGAATCTCATCTGCATTCTGGGAACAAATTTGGGAACATGAAAACACCATCAATTGTGGCAAGAGTGAGGGAGGACAAGTCCCAACTGCTTTTGTTTATAGCTGCATTTACATTCCCTTTCTGATTCTGCAAACTTTATCATGTCTCCTCGCTTTGATTTTCTGTTTCGTTTATGCACTCATTCTCATACCAGTAACTCTACACAGTTTTATTTTCAACGAGTGAATGGATGTCCAAAAATTTTAATATTGCACTCTCTTGTCCATTGTCCTTTTTATGTGCAAATCAGGCTGAAATTAGTTGGAAGAATTCAAAGACACAAGAATTTTAAAATGCCTTTTCAGAAAGTTTGCTGATGGCATTGTTTAAACCTTCCCCTGTAAGTGAAGTCATTTGCACTTCACTATATGCCAACACAATCTGGCTCACAGAACTGCTTTTTATATATGCAGGAATTTTAGAAGTGACCCTTAAATTATTGTAGTTGCCAAGCATAGTCTTCATTAATAGGTTTCCACTTGCATGAAAGTTATGCAAGGGAGTGTGCTACTCACTTTTTTGTGCATACTCATGAAAGTGGAGAGAAGCACTCACATGGATAGGGTGGATCGTGTGTAACTTTCTTGGGAATACACTTGTCTGTAAACCTGCCCAAATAAGTCACAGCTTTCAGGAAATCCCAAGGTTCCCCTAGCAAGTCACCCCTCCTTAGTGTCAATGAGTATTGATTGATTTTATACTTTATTGTTGGTATAGACTAGATGTTAATACTGACACAATCACACTGCTACTACGTATGTTGTGTTTGAATGCGATAGTTGATACCTTATGGGTTGCTCTCATTTTATTATCTTGATCACAGGATGCATGGAGTAGTACATTGAGAATGGGAGGATCTCGAAGAGGCATAGAAAGTATCATGTGAGTGAAAAAATCAGAAAATGTCATCAGAGTTTTTGAAGCTGAAATGGTCCAATCACAAGTCAAGCTTCTTGGAGGTCTTAGACTACCTCCTGGAAAGAGGTCTATTTGTCGATGTCACACTTGCTTCGGAAGAAGGGGAGAAGTATGCTGTGCACAAGATCGTTCTTTGTGCCTGTAGTCCTTACTTCCAGAAGCTGTTGGCTGATAACCGTTGCGAGCATCCAATTGTGATCCTAAAGGATGTGAAGAGCAAGGAGATGCGTGCTCTCATTGAGTTCATGTACAAAGGAGAAATATGTGTAGCTCAGTCGGATTTGGATTCCCTACTCCGGACTGCTGAGTGCCTCCAGATCCGTGGCTTGTGTGAAACTCAAACTTCAAGTACAAATCTGGAATCTCAGGAAGTGACTGACTTCAGCGAACAAACTCACATCCCTCATCAACCTCTGAAACGGACCCTTCTTCCAAGTGATGTCAGTGTGCCCGGACCTGGAGGGAAGCGTTTCCGAAGCCCTGCCACTTCCTGTCTTCCCATGGCACTTTCTTCTCCAATCTATTCAGGTTTCCATCCTCCGTTCTCCCCTATGAGCAACGGGTTTACTGCTGAGGGTTCTTCTCAGGTGGCTTTGTTCAGTGGCCCATCAGTAGTGATGTCAGAAGGGGGAAGTCCAAAGCCCTCAGCTGGGTCCTCAGATGACACACCCAACTCAGGAGATCGCATTGCTGGGACTGCTACCTTGGTACCTGAATCACTCTCAGGTTTAGAAGAAAGAGAGAAATCTAATGAGGAGAAGGAATCATGGAAAGATCAATGGGGTGACCCAGAATGCAGACCAGAGAATCTCAGCATCAAAAGGGAAGAAAATGACTCAGAACAGAGCATGTCTCCACCTCAATCATCTCAATCTCAGGGCGATATTACTATTGGTACCAATGCCAGTTTGGCTGCTGCTTCATCTCAACCCTCTCTTGCTCATGAACGACCTGCATCCTCTCCTTCCATGGTCAGTTGAATCTCCATGAAATATTTTTTGTCATGTCCAGCAGGTAGTGACATTGAACTTTTATTATATCTTTGATGTGTCAATTTCAGGGAGCAAGCACAAGTACAGGATCTGGATCAGCAAGTTCAAATCATATCTGGGGTTCAGTTGGTGTGGAGAATTCAGCATCAAGTTTCTACCATGCCAACTCATTGTATGCTGAGCGTCTTCGCCAACATTTCACTCAAAATGTGAGCTTTACAGCTTTATTTTTTTTTTTACATTGTCCTAGTTTGTGATTTTTCAAGCATTTTGCATTATAATCACCCATAGAATGAAAGTCAAGTTCTGGCATTATCAGAATACATATTCTGAAGTAATGTCCATGGGCAGATGCCTTTTTGAAAGGACATTGGCCTGGATATTGAGAGGAGGGGAACAGCTTTCATATTCATTGTATTGACATCAAATGAAATGAGACCCATAGTACCCATAGAAATGAGACCCATATCTCAGTAGCTTTCATTGTGATGTCAAGACTAATATCTACTGTTTGTGTTTTCATTATTGCTGGAGACAGCAGAAATAATGTATTCTTTTTAGATATTTCCTTTTCTCATTGGAAATTTTGCAGTATGAAATTTTCCCTGTAACACAAGTATTTTATTTTTAAAGAATTTTCACAAATTTGACATACCTTGTGAAAAAAAAGCTAATGAAAGGAGACTTTCCATTCTTCAAGCTAGTAATGGCTTGTTGAGCTTCCTCCATAGTGAGACTATTCTCCATTAAGATAGGCTCTGAGTAGACATCAGAGTCTGCCATTTGAGTATGAGTGCTGTTCAAAATGTTCCTTCCTCTGAAAAATTTCTACTTTGTTTTGTAACTTTGTTTTGTAACTTTGCCAGATCCTTTGAATTTGATTGGTTTGCTGAAACACTTTAACAGTGAGTTAGTTAGTAAAAACTATTCTTTTTTTTCCAGTTTGACATGATGTATCGACTACTCAGGGACCAGAGCAAAGATATTGTTGGATTTCACCATTGCCTGTTCTGCGGGAAGCAGATCCGAGATGCATCCAACTTCAAGAAACACTTACGCACGCATACGGGTGAGAAACCCTACCCATGTAGAATCTGCGGTCGTGCATTTTCTCGCTCGGAGAACCTCAAGATGCACATGAGGAATCGCCATCCCACATTGGTCCCTTCCCCAATTCTACCTCCTCCATCATCACAGGGAACTGCCTCTCGACTGACACCACCAACTGGTCCATCTCCATCTCCCTCCAAACAGCAGCCTCCCAGTTCTACCCCCCCACCATCTTCATTGGGGGGATTGTCTTCAACCTCTATGGCTCCATCTACGACTACCTCAGTTACTCAAATGGAATCCCTGCTGCCCAGCTTGGGACTGGCAAAGAGTAATGTTAGCTCATATGTACGACCACTTGCCCATCCCACATTGGTCCCATCCTCGATACTACCTCTTCCATCAATGCAGGGAACTCCCTCTCGGCTGTCCATACCCACAGCTCTGTCTCCATCCCCCCCCAAACAGCAGCCTCCTAGTTCAACCCCCCCACCATCTTCATCTAGTGGAGTGTCTTCAACTTCTGTTGCTCCAATTTCAAATGCTTCATCTGTAACTACCTCGACTGCTCAGATGATGTCCCTTCTTCCTAATGTGGGACTCACTAAGAGTAACGTTAGCTCATATGTAAGACCAGGTGCCCATCCTACATTGGCCCCTTCCCTAATTATACCTCCTCCTTCATCACATGGAACCGTCCCTCGGCTGACTGTGCCCATGGCTCCGTCTCAGTCTCCCTCCAAACAGCAGCCTCCCAGTTTTACCCCCCCACCATCTTCTTTGTCCAGTGGAGCATCTTCAACCTCAATCACCCCAGTTTCGATTGCTCCCTCTTCTACTACCTCGACTGCTCAAATGGAATCCCTGCTTCCTGGCCTGGGACTTGGTAGGAGTAACGTTAGCTCGTATGGACTTAGTGGGAGTAACGTTAGCTCATAGAGATTCCAGCATCAACTCTACCTCTTCTCACTCTTTCTTTTTCTCCCTCCTTAAAGGAGACCAGCTGTGGGTATACTCTCTACCTCTGTCAACTGCACGTGTTTATCTCTGTGATTGATAGAGAAGACTCTCAAACTGCATGTTGTATCCAGAAATTAATCTACCTCATGAGAGTCGAAAAGGCGTTCCTTGCCCCCAACTGACTCAATCAAAAGTGATGGAATCTCACATGACTGGAGAAAACAAATGATGATGACTCAAAGAATAGAGAAGCAGAGACTAGGCTTCATGGCACAGATCCTTTTAATGAAATGTTTCTGTTCGCTTATGAACCACATCTACCTCTTGTATTCATCACTCAGGTCCCCTAAAGATTCTATATCTCTTATGAAATGATTCAATCCAAGTCTAGATAGAAAGAAGTAAGCATTTTGGCCAATGAAGTAACTCCTCGTCATTCCGAAATGACATTGGTGGCTCATATGTGAGATGCTTGAGAGTGTGATTAAGTATCTTTCCTTCCCTCTGCCCTCCATTCATGCTTGCTCTTCACTTTCACTCAGGGATTCTCCCTTACTGGGTCTTCAGGGAATCATAAGAGAGAAAAAAAAGATGATCGTAAGAGTTTAAGAGTTTACCTTATGATTGGGTTGAAATCTTCTCAGGTCCTTGGGATACGGGCAGAAACATTATCACAATTTCACCTCTTGATTGCTACTTGCATAATCAAGGGTGTTTTGGATCTTGGTGGCATGTGGTACAGGAAAATGAATATGTGGATATACCTCATTAGTCAGTGTGAAAGATTGACTGCTGTCGCCAAATACCTGAATGAGTGATTGTGTGTGTTTTTTCCTCCTCTTTATCATCCGTATGTGTGTATGAAGGTATGTGTGACTGGGTGTATTTTTCAATGTCAGAGCTTTTTACTTTAATCAGGAGTCAGATCCTTCAGTTTATGGTCTTGGGTATTTTTTTTTTAATGAATTGGCCTGTCATGAAGTAGGATTTGCCACGTCTACCTCAGTCGGTGCAGTTGATCTGATTGAGTAAATAATTGACTGCTTCTGTGCTGGAGCGGAGAGATCCACTCTGTGATAGAGGATGGTCATAAATCTCTCCAATGATGTTTTTTCTCCCTTCTCAAGTGCCCTTCAGACTCATAGAAGACAAAAATACGTCAGGTCATCTCAGGAAACAGGGCTCTATATACTACTAGCTAAAATGTAGTGGCTGTAGAGTAGCAGATTTAGATTGAGGATGTATGACATACTCCTTGGGTGTGATTGTGGTTATATGGTATTGCCATCAAAAACAAAAGGATCAGCTTAATATCTGGTACGGGTATCATAAGGAGAGACATGTTGAAATCAATGATTAGTTGGGTCTCCTCAGGGGTTAATGAGGTTTTCCTTTTTTTCTGTTCTCCTTGGTACATCTACCTCGATAGAAGATAAATAGAAGCTTCCCGTTTTTTCATCTGGTGTCCTTCTGTCTTCCTTTATCCGTCGCTTCCAAGGCGCAGCCTCAGAATCTCAATTTGAATTGAATGTCTGGTTAGTGTACATAAATGGACGTGTCTGGTTGGCAGCCTGAGGCTTGTAGGTTTTCCCCATTATCATCATTCTAGGTGCCAAAGAGAAAGGTCTGTAGACTGGAAAAAGAAAATTTGTTCCTTGTTCCTCCCTGGATGGGATGGAACAGGTTCAAACTTGATTGTGCGATGCCGGTGTTGATTTCCTTACCCTCCATTTCTGTTTTCTTGAATTGAGCCTGATTACCCCAGTGCAATGGATTGGGAATCTCTCTGCTCTCACCTCAACTCATTCTCTGTATTGAGACAACTGACTGCCTCCATGACAATGAATGGATATCCATAGTCTGTGTTCAAGCCACAAATACCTCAAGCATCTTGGGAAAGAAGGAAGTTCTTTCCTCTCTTCAACAGCCTCCATTAGAATCACTTCCTTCTCGACCAGCTGTGTTTTGTTTTGTATAAACTTTTTTGTCAATAAAGTCTTGGAGCTTTGATGTGAATTATGAAGTTTCATTCATCTTGTGTGCCAACTTCCTCCTCAGTCATGGATGAATTTGAATGCAGTAGAACAGTCTTCATACTTGGACAATTCAAACAGAAGTACCATAACCTTTCTCTCATGGCTGAGATAGGTTTATGGTAGAATACTTATCCTGGTACTCATGCCAGTTAGAATTTCCATGGATTTGAGTATTTGTTACAACCATAACTCAAGACTTAACATGGTTAACATTGTATGCACTTTTTATTTTATAGTTATCCTATTCCTGCTTCATTGATAATGAAGCAGGAATAGGATAAGCCAGATACCTAATCTGACTGACATGCACTCCATCAAGACTCTTGTACACAGGATTGAGTAAATCTAATAACTGGCATGAATATGAAATCAAATGGTTATGACAGTTCTTATAACTGCTGGTGCTGAGTTCTATCTTTTGTGGAAAGGAGAAGTCATCAGCTGTCTAAAGCAAGTTGTTGACTATTCTAACATTGCATCTTCTTGTTTGGAACTTTCAGTACATACAAAGGGTGTGCAAAAGTTTTTGGTCCAAAACACTTCCAGTTGTAATATACCATTCTTACATTTTGCATGGGAAGATATACAGGGTGGCCCAAAAAAAACCACCAATTTTTATTGGCAATAACTTTTGAACTAATGAACCTTTTTTCATGTTCAAAACGGGAATTGAAAGGTCTATTAATCCTCTTTCCATCGCCATATCATTTATCAAATTTCCTTCAACAGATCCGGAGCAATTGGAATTTAAGTACAAGCACTCAAAAAAGTGGATGAACAAGGCTGGTCTGGTTTGTAAGCATGCAACGGAAAATCACTGTAGGATGCCAAAGGATGCTGCCATACAGAGAGGGTTAACAAGAAGCCTGCCTTGTTCATCCACTTTTTTGAGTACTTGTACTTAAATTCCAATTGCTCCGGATCTGTTGAAGGAAATTTGATAAATGATGGAAAGAGGATTAATAGACCTTTCAATTCCCATTTTGAGCACGAAGAAAGGTTCATTAGTTCGAAAGTTATTGCCGATTAAAATCCGTGTGGTTTTTTTTTGGGCCACCCTGTATATCTTTGATGGGAACTGGAAAAATTTCATCTCATTTGTCAATGATGGAAAGTTCCTATCAATTTTTAACAAAAGGGTAATAAAGAATGGAAAGTATGTTGGGCTATTAGAAAACAGCACTCATCTCAATTTTAACATTCCTTCAGCAGACCCTTTGCACATTGAAAAAAAATTAATAAAAGCTGTCCATCATCAACAAATGCAATCAGATTTTGCCAGTCCCCATTGAAGTCATATGTCTTTCCATAGGAAAAGTAAGAATGTTGTGTTACAGCTGGAAGTACCTCAGACCTGGAACTTTTTGAACACCCCTCGTAACTGGCCAAGGTTGTTGACATGATGTCAATTACTAGTCTTCTTCACTGTGGTAATAATATAACTCTCAAAGACATAATTTTCATTATTGAAAATGCTTCACCCATTGGCTGAACTTCACATTGGCCAGATATTGTTCAGTCAATAATGACCAGAACAGCAAAGGAAGTGGGATAGTTGCTGCTTGATATTCATCATGCTTATAATTCTGAATCAGAATGTGCTGGTTCTGATCAGCATTGCCGTCCTGATGCTTTTGGCTTTCGCCTCTCAAGCCAAACTTGAGACTAAAAAGAAATTGACAGTTCTCATAAATCCAGAGGTAATGTAATAATTAGGGAGCAGATTTTTATGCAAGTGGATACTTTTTCTGCAGCCTTATAGGAGTATGCAACCCGAATAGAAGCATGTATTATTAGGAAGGGAAATGGGTCATTCCATCTCACATCAGCTAGAAGCCAGAGCATGACCTTCTCCAATATTGACAAAAAAATTTTATATGGTATCCCTCATGGCCCAAAGTAAGAATGCAACATTTTGGCTTCGGGTATGGAGTCATTTTGGCACAATAATTCATTAAATTTTGTGAAATTTCAGAAAATGGGCACCTCTTCATGCTCATGCAGGCCAAAAACTTTTCCAAAAAACCATATAGTTTTCATTACCAGTTCCTTTTTTTTTTCTCATAACAGCAATAAAAGAAAAAAATTTTGGCCTTAAAAACAACGTAGAAATTGTGAAGTGGGGTCTGAAATAAAATGTGTGGTATGCAATTGCCAACTGACCCATGGAGTCACTTTTCCTTCAGGGGAGCTATATTTGGAGTTGAATATCTCAAGAACCATTTTTGATAGAGCATTGAATTTATGGATTTTTCATAACTCAGGTACATCATCATGTATAGTCGAGTCACTGGAAATATGGCAGTTTGTTGGCGAATTTGACAGGTCACCCCATTAGAGGTCATAAAATGTCAGCTAGTTGACAGCCCCCTCCCCTAATCTCCAGCTTGGAAAAACAGGGTTGCCACAGGCAGTTTTTATTCACAAGAACAGCAGGAATGCTAAATGTGAGCAGGAGTGTTGGCCTCTCAGGAATAACACAGGGATGCCACATGATGAAACTGCTTGCATGAGATCAAAGACTGCAAGAAAAAATATATACTCACCTCTAGGGAAGACCCATGTGGCATCTGTGTCAGAATGTCATGTCTTTGACAGTAGGAGTTAATCCACCGACAAGGACCAGGGAGACCCTAAATGACTCTTTTCTTTTCCTTCTACTGCCCATATTCCCAGTGACTCGACTATATGAATTTTCTCAAGCGAATCCCGGTTGGATGCACAACCCAAGTACCCGAAATTTGACCACTTGAGCTGGAATGCCTCATACTAAGAGAAAAGAAAGGACTTCGCTCACACCCTTCATGTGGCAGGGAAATCCCCAAAGTTATGGCATGTGTATTAACCTTCAACAGGTCTCGAGAGGTAATAGGTTCATAGCTCAATGGAAAGAAACAGAAATTATGCCATATGCTTGCCCACTCAATTGGGTCCATTTCTGAGAGTCACGCATGGGAGGCTTCTCCAATCCATTTCCATTGAGGTCTGCCTATGCAAGAGCGAGTTTTGATATTTGGCTTCCATTTTAACTGGCTTTACAATAGAATCTGCTACTGATTGAAACCAACCGAAATGCTCCCCTTGTAAGCGTATTGGGGACTGGACTTTCAGTGCACCTTGTCGAAAAAATTGCATTGCAGCCAGAAGAAAATTCAAGAAATTTAATGAAAATCTGCCTTTAAAATGTTTACCTTGGCGCAGAGAATTGGTTACGGGCTTAGCTACACTGCAAGTCAATTGCAGGATCGTACAGCTGACAAGACTTGCACAATTTGTCCGCCCATTAAGGCAACTTTACCCTTCTCTCTTGGTTCATGATCTTAATTTCTAGATATTGGATCTACTCTGATAGGGATACTGTTATGAAGTACTAACGTGTCAAGCCTTGGAGTCTCTTGAAGTCGCTGTCACTATCAGCATTCTGGCTGAATCTTCCAGTTTCACATGAAAATTACTCATTCCATTCATCTCTGGTTTTGATGAGAATCAGTAGCCCAACACGACTACATCACTATATGTTTCCACATTGAATGCAATGGAAACGAGAGCCTTCCTATCATTGAAGTTTCAATAGTTGGCATACCAGATTCTGGTCTCACTCGGTGTTACACGTCCCACAAATTTTACGAATGCATTCCTGCGCTAAAAGGAATCCATATCTTCAGCTCAGTTCATCATACTGCCCAAAGAATGTTTCAGAATTGCCAGATACTGGCTCAACTGGGTGCATAATTGCCAACCAAAAATAAAAATGAGTCAAATGGTACCATGATTCACGAAATGAGTCTTTGTTCCATGGAAGTCGAAGGGGTTTTCAATTTTTTCTTACTTTTCTCCACTTTTACTTCTTGTTGTGTCTGAAAACCTACACATCCACATGCTGAGAGGATTGGTTACCCGTATTATCTCATGGGAGGACTACAGGAATGCATAAATTAACCAGCAAATCAAATGTTTTCCTCAAAGTACAGCGCAGCGACAAATTTTGCCCCCGCTTGAATTCCATGAGGCACAAAGGATTGCAAAATTATGTCCTTTTCTCACCCGCCCTCCACCGTTCTCTCCTCCTCTGGTAGAAGCAGTTTAAAATAAATTCCTGGTCAGAAGTGAGGAAAAGGGCTAGAAAAATGAGAAGAATTAGCTTTAGTTGACTTATGAGACAATGATACTTTGAGAAATAAAGATCAACACTATGCGAATCAGTTCTTGACAATAAAAGTTTTTGAATTTCACGAATCAACAGGTAGTAGTTGGAAGTGAAGTGGGAACATGGCACAGTATCCTGCAACTGGAGTCTCCAAGAACCCACCTTGGGTCAGAGCAGGTAAGCTAAGGAACTTTGAGTATATTCCATACCTGTTTTCAAACATTGCATTGTTCATGACATTGATTTTAAGTCTATCTGTTTACTATAATTGAGCCAGAGTTTGAAACTAATAGATATCACACATTTTGAGATTACAGTGATTTGTGATGTTGACATTTTAACAGGACAAATAACAATGATGGGGACTGGACCCATAGCCAGCTTAAGCAATCAAACAATGCAAGGTCGAGTTTATGAGAATCCTCTTATGGCACAGGTATGACTTGGGTTTATCCTCTTCTATTTCAATTACTGGGGTGCCTATGAAATGACTATCTCTTGGCTAATATTTTTCATTATTGCATTTAACTCATTCACTGCCAGTGGGAATGCCAGTGCCTTTGCATAACATCATAGTGAATATGTTGTACAACATATTCAGCAGTTTATGTGTTAAAGTAAGACCTTTTTTTCAATAATAGGAGGCTGTAGACCTCAGAATGATGTCATATCTTTCAATCCTTGACTTCGGTGTGACTGAAATAATTTCACTGCTTTGGCAGTGTGGCACCTGAAAGTGAATGTCAGTTAAGCCTAAATTTCTTTCACATCAAGTATGGATTGTAAGAGTGTATGCATGAAATATTTTCTTTCTTATACTTCAATTGGGCAACAAGTTATGAACTTGATGGAGGCAAAGACTGTGATATGGCTTCATGCTATCAGTGCTCACCACTCAGTGGTGAGCACTGATGGCATTGTGATATGTTACAGTTGGCTCATGGTTGAGGAACATATCTCAAAACCAAGCAAGGTATAAGGCTAAGGCAGTAATGAATACCAGCACATCTCTTTCCAGGATGATATTCATAAGTATGTTACTGATCCTTTAACTCATGATAGGGGATGAAAATGGAAGGACGCCCAGTAACCTTGCCTCAAGTCCCCCCTCTTGCCAGTGGCTTAGGAGCTGCACCTGGCATTGGGTCTCCATATGGATCTCATGTCACGGGTGGAGGGATTGGTCTGGATCCATTCAGTCAGGTCCTCCAATCACATCATCCTCTCCAGCGTGTCTTCACTGGTACTATCACCAAGATGGCTGAAAACAATAAGCAGGGATTCGTTAACAAAACTGTATTTTTCCATGATAGGTAGGGATCTCATTTTGGAACCAAAGAATTATGCTTGTTAGAGATATCTATGACTTTAGACCACTTTTTTGTTCAGTAATTTGGTTGGAACAAAGAAGGCCAAAGTTGGTGACAAGGTCCTTGTGGAAGCTGTGTACAACCCAAATGCACCATTCCAATGGAGTGCCACTCGAGTCCAGTTCCTCAGTACAGATGGTGCTGCTCATGGCCAAGGTGAAAGCTACTCTCATCTTTTATATGTTGGCATAAAGTGCATCTTTGCCTCAACGGTATATCCTGTTAGGTATATCAAGTATGCGACACCAGGGTTTCGATCGATCCGAAGAATGTATCAGAGATAGGGACAGGAGCTGGGAACGAGATTCTAACAGGCATCGTGAAAGAGGTAGAGACTTGGACATGCTTCGAAAGAGGGGAAAGAGGTGAAGATAAAAATTCACTTCATGAGATTTCTTTTTAGGTGGGAAATATCATTCATGGCATAAGCATCCATTTTTAGGAGTGCAGAGAGAGATGGGGACATGTGTAGTCATGGGAAACATCCACGTCATTCACCACTTAGTCCACACACTCAAAGTGACACTATTCCCAAGACCAACAAGCATCACTCAAAGTCTCCTTCTCAACGTTCCCGCAATCAAGATCAAGATCAGCATCAGTCTCGATCTTCTGAACATCATGGGGAAGAATCACGACCTGTATCTTCTCAGACTGGTGTTAGGAGCCGCTGGAAGGGAGGTCGTACTCTGACTCCTCGATACAATGTCACCATACCTCGAATTGACTTTTCCCTGTAAGTTACGTTGTAGAATATTTAATTAAACCAGTACATACTGGGTGCAGAGAAAATAACCCCATTTTGAATTTCTGCATTAGGAAATTGGCCATTCATTCTGTACTGTATGTTCTGGGATAAATGCATCTACACTGTTTCTCAAAAATAAAGAGGGGGGGAGCAGCTTATTTTCTTAAATACCTCCATCCAATATTGTGCAAGGCTCATGCTTTTCTGCAAATCCCATTTCAGAAGAATAAGAAAGAGTCCTGCCAAGTGTAAAATAATTTCATCCAGTGCTTATAATGCAATAAAAATGTAAAGTACCTGAAATGACATTGAACAAGCTATTCACACTCTGCTTCTGTCCAGGTGCATCAATTTGGTGCATTCTAAAATGACTATGCAGGCAACAGGCAGTCTCACTGATGGATTTGGTTTGGATTAATTCCTTTCATGTTCACTGTTCAATGAGTTTGAATTTGATCCCATCTTACTTGAGGACCAATTCTTCAACACACTCAATATTTTATACAGTTTGGGTTCTATATGGCCTGACACTACTTCATTTTCTGCCAATTGATACAGTTGCAGCAATTTTTTTCAGCAACTCATGACCATGATGTGACCTCTTTTCCCAAAGGACCACGAATCAGAAGAGCTATACCCCTTCATCTCTCACAAGCCTTTGACCAGATGCTTGTCCTCTTCTCTGAATTGCATGATGTTCTTTATAATTTTAAATACTGTGATTCATGACATGGCAAAAACTGTAAGAATGGAGAGTTAAGCATTATGCCTACTGAAAATGATGAAGGTAATATTTAAAAAATGCAACCTGAACCCAAATGAACTGAAAACATAGGGTAAGAAATATCAAAAGCCAGTTTCTTCACTAAGACTGCCTGTTGTCTGTGCTCAGTCATGTAGGGATACACCTGGCAAGGAGCAGTAGGCAGATTGGATGTTCACTAAAATTTTTGGTGCTTCAATTTTAAACCATTTGAATCACTGATTGAGGTTTTATTAAACTTGGCAGAAATCTTTCATATTCATCTGAGATTTCATGTGTTGAAAAAGACAAGGCACATGTGAAAATAGGATGGAGATACTTAGGAAAATAAAGTGGCTCCCTTTTTTTTTAAGACATGGTGTATGTCTTTGGTTGTCAATGCCCACCTGGTATTGCCAATGAAGCATTTTGAAGGTTGCATGTAAAATTGTTTGCAGATCATGCTCATTATTAATGAGCCTCTTGCTAAAAAAAGGGAAGGCTTGATTGCTTTTTTTTTCATCTGCACCCAGTATATACGTGGTATATCCCGTACAGGGTGATCATAAAGTCCCAATCTATTTTATTGTTGAACTCAAAATTCTTATAATAATGTGTAATGTGCACTTCACATTGTCAATAAGGAACTAAATAAAGCTGGTGATAGTAAATTTAAAATTGGTTATTAAATTTTTTTATTTACTGAAGTTCCACATGATCACCTTTCAAATCGATACTTAACTGGAATGGATCCGTTGTTTCCCTGAACATTCAGGATGTTCCACATGTCAGGGATTATGGTGTTACCAGCAGCATAGAGATGATCTCTGAAATCTTCAGCATTGAGAACCTTTGTGCTGTAAACCTTTGACTTAATGTACCCCCATGCAAAAAAGTCAAAGGGGGTTAGTTCAGGGGATCTTGAAGCCCAAATTTCATTTCGTGAACATTGTGCTAGATTATCTAATGAGAAGTTCCTGAACCATTAGATTGGCCGAGGATCGAACATAATGTTGGCTTGATAACCTGACATAACCCCCTTGGATTTTTTTGCATGAGATACGTTAAGTCAAAGGTTTACAGCAAAAAGGTTCTCAATGCTGAAGATTTCATAGATCATATTTATGTTGCTGTTAACACTGTAACCCCTGACATGCTGAACATCCTGAATGTTCAAGGAAACAATGGATCGATTATGTATCGATTTGGAAGGTGGTCATGTGAAACATTAGTATTAAAAAATGTTAATAACTGATTTTTAATTTACTTTCACCAGTTTTATTTAGTTCATTATTGACAACGTGAAGTGCACATGATGCATTTTTGTAACATTTGCATTATGAATTTTGAGTTTAACAAAAAAATAGATTGGGACTCTATGATCACCCTGTATAGAGAGAGAGAGAAATCCCAAGGTTTAACTGCAATTGTATTTCATAGCATTGGTGTGGATCATCAAACTGTTTCAGGAAGGAGTGTGGGGTGATGGAATTGAAGAGGCGTTATACAAATCTCTACATTCCTTCTGATTTCTTTCAAGGGAAGCTATCATGGCTGAGCACATTCCCTACAAAGAGCCCCTTCCCTCTTGGTGTCTCTCGGGTCCCATTTTTCATCCTCAACAAGCAATGTGTTCAGCCAATTTATGCCAATGATGAAAAACTATTCCCTCCAGATGCAGACTATTCATATTCTGCTAAGGTAAGACTCAAGTTCTTGCCTTTGTAAATTGACAGCATAAAGATTTCACATGCATTGAGTTTGTACCAGCAAGTTTCTTACTTTGGTTATACTAGTCATGCCATGCCTGTCATAAAGTTGTCACAGTGTAATAATTTTATAAATTCCTTGGAGATATGGATCATCAGAAATTATCAGCAAACTATTCATATATGGGCAGTTCCAAAGTTACTGGAGTAACACCAGACTCAAAATTGAAAACAAGTATGATGGTATACTTTGAAGATGGTTTGGTCCAGAAATTCTTCAATAGTGCCTTATAGAACATAGATACTAGCACCTATTTCAGTCCACTTCATCTCATGGGTGAAGAAAAGTAAGGCCATTCATTTTTGTGTTACTGTTACTGACATAACATAGTTTAGAGAACAGTTTTGCTCTGCTGCTTCCCTTCCAAGTCTGTCTAATTTGACTTGACCCCAAGTTCCATCGTTTCAAGAAAGAAAGCCTAGACCAGGGGTCGGGAACCTTTTTGGCAGAGTGAGCCATATTAAGGTTGAGCTAAGTGCTTGTGAGCAAAAAATTTTCAGAACAACATAATTTTTCCTGAAGTTGACAAACAGAGGTGTGCATTCTTTGATACATGAGGAACAACCATTATTTTCAACCATGACTCAATGAGCCAAACTTTTCGGCTCATGAGCCATAGGTTCCCGACCCCTGGCCTAGACTGTCACCTTACTTTGTGCCAAATGACATTAGTTGCAGATAAAAATAATGAAGCAGCTAGGAGAGTTTTTCAGTATTACTGACAACTAAATTGTCTAAAAGGAGGTTTACAAAGCAAGTGCTAAATTGATCAAAATGGAGTGTTAGAGGAGAAATGAAAAACCATATTGTGTCAGGTGGTGCATGTTCAGTGTATCTCTTGTCTTAGTTTAGTATTCATAAAATACAGAAGAATCTGGAGGGAATTTTTGAAAACATTTTTATACCACTTTTGTCCCAATTGCCCTAAAACTGCCCATATGAAATTCTGACTTTTAATAGCTTTCTTCAGATCAACTGGTGAAATCACTAAGTGGTTATGCCTTAGCTACTGCAAAGGTAATGATTTCCCTTGTTCTTGATGCTTCATTAGTACCTCTGAGAAGAGCCTATTGGAGTGGTTCTCAAAATGGGGGCACAACCCTTAAGGGGGGGGGGGGGCATGAGAGAGTCTGAGAAGGGTGTAACAGGTCATGGGATTTTTAGTTTTTTATTTATTACAATATCCAATTTCACAAACTGTATCATTATATGGATCTTTTTTTTAAATTGTTTTAATTGAAAAATGTTTATGTTCCTTTTCCTCCTTGTGAAGACACTCAACTCAAGGATTTAAGGCTAGTAGTGGAATGCAAATCTGCCTTTTTTCTCTTAAATAAAAGACCAAGGCCTTTATGGCTCATTCTCTTGGAGTACAAGACTAAATGAAAGCAATCCCCCAATGCAGGCTTCAAAATTTGATTCTATTTCAACAGGTGCTCATTTTTCATCAGCAATCTCCTGTGATCAAAATCAATACAACAAATGGATCATGCAATCTCTTTGAGCTGTTAACTTGAATTCTTGGTGTAGTGTTAATGCACTGGTTTTCTCTAAATAAATAGTTTTCTGTCAGGTCTTTGAAAATCGTCCTCCCATATCTTATCAGTGTGAAAATTCAGTGCCATTTGGATGTTAGACATTCCTGATGTGGCACTTGCACAGTGCTCAAAGGTTTGTGAGGACATGCTAATAGCTCGTAATAATAATAATATTCAGGTGGTGTTGACTGGTTCAACAAAGGGCAGATATAATGCTATCAACACTCCTACTACTACTGTGAGGCCTAAATTACCTTGTAAAGTTTCATTTGGACACTAGTATCGTTTGTTAATTACTTGTAAACTTAACAGACCTCAATTTGCTCCTGTCTTAACTTAATATGGCCCTTTAGAATAGAAACAACTTGGACTATCTTGAATCACTCTTATACTCCCAGATTGAATGCTCTCTTTTATTCCAAAGGAATGGATGTTTTTTAGTTTAAATTGCCTTATCTTAGTTTGAATTTCTCTCTGAACTTATTTTTTTATGCCAAATTTGGCTTGTACTCAGTACCTGCTGTTTGTAATTTATGTTGAATTTCTTTTCTTTTTTTTTTAGAAATGTTTTCATCCTCTCTGGTATTGTCTCTTTTTTCTCACCAGGTAATGCTGCTGTCCTGTCCAGTTCTCTGGGATCTCTTCCAGATGTGCTGCAGCCTTGCTCAAGACTCAGATGACATTCGATCTGTGTTTCTCCATCCGGCTCGTGCCATCAAGTTCCTGGTAGGAACAAGAGGGCGGAGTGAAGTGATGGCCATTGGGGGTCCATACAGCCCTGCTCTTGATGGCCCTAACCCAGGGCAGAATCCTCTCACACTCATAAAAACAGCAATTCGCACAACCATGGCTCTTACTGGCATTGACCTCTCTGCTTGCACGCGATGGTGTGTCTGAATGATTATTTTTCTTGTGAGGAGTGAGGGTTTCTTTGACTCACGTATCATGGGTTGCAGCAACTGATCTCTTCCATTTTTCCATTCTCACAAGAGATAATTTAACTAATTTGTTTACACCCATTAATTTGTAAATTTTATGCAACTTGAAGTGCTGTATTTAAACAAGCTGGACAGCTTGACATATTAGTCTCTCCTGACTAGTGCTGTTGCTGTTACAACTACTTGTTTTCTTGGTACTAGTATAAATAGCCTAGATGCTGAAAGATATTGTAACAGTTGGAATCGTTCCAAATGGTCAGCATTGGAAGCCACATTCTATATTCTTATTATATTACAAATTCTATATGTGTAAGTTCAATTAGTGCAATTCATATATTTATGCAAATATCTGATTGAATTCAGATGCAAAGTTACAATCATTCAGGATATTAACAATTTATCTGCTTGGGATGGCTGCTTTGAGTTTCATTGTTAAGATTATGCAGGAGAGCTACAAGAGGTGTATTGGCTACTGGCTTATACTTATGTTTCAAATTTTCCACTAAATCAATACAAGTGAGTTACTCCAAAATTGACTTACCTCACCTCTTACCTAGGGCTACAAATGTATAGCAGAACATCAGCAGTTCATATGGCAAGTTATGTCTTTAATTTCTTGATGCTACAATTTCGTGCTAATTTCCGTCCACATGATATTACAAGTGGATGTGGGTGGGGATGCAAATGGATAACAATTTCTCCTTCTGTTGTGCATTAGGCATTACATGGATCTATATGTTGTGTGTTCTGTTTAGTTGGATAGGGGACTCCGAGAGGGACACTCCCATTGTTTTAAGGAACTCTTTCTTCACTTTTCTTTCATAGTTTCAGGTTCATCAGCTCTCATTTTATACAGTTGATCATGTCACAACATGGCCATGGAAGCTAAATGTGACTTCAAAGTGTCTATGTTTTTAGGCTGTGGTGATATCTTGCCCTTTGATAAGATTATTAAGGCTGATCTAGATATTGGGGTTTTGACAATATCATGGTTTTCAGCATTTTGTTGAAAAACATGTTGGTGTTTCAACATGTTACAAAACATTTAATCATTTTTCATAATTTTTCTTGAAAATTTTCCCTTTCATTTGAAAATTTCATCCCTTTCCCCTCAATTTGGCCTTCATTATTTTTCACAAGTCACAGATAATTTCTTGACTGGTAAGATGTATAACTACTGTGAACCTGGCTCGGGAATGTAACTGGACTACAGTTCCTGAGATTGTACCACTCTTTTACTCTCACATTTGGTTAAAAAAATGTGGAAAGTCATGGTATTCCCAAAAATTCTGGAACTTTCCTAGCAGCCCTCATATTAGTCAGTGACAGCATGCCTCATGACTCTGCACCCAGGGTGTTTTTCACACATGGCCAACATTTTGGAATGGTCGGCATGAAGGATCTGCATCATCAACATTTATAGGTTGCCATTGGAGGACAAGAAGCATTCACTTCTGACATTTTCTTCCCATAGGTTTTCAGCCATGTGACTTTTCTAGATACTTTCCATTGTCAATATCCCTTGATTGGAGGTATTGCATGTTTTTGATGCAGAGTTTAGGATTCCAACTTTGGACCTGCACAGTTCCTCAAAACTCTCTCTAAGAATGGGAGTGTCCCTCAAGGGTGTGTGTATTTGTGATCATCACTTCGTTTCCAGTATCCCAGATTTCTCTCCATCAGGTATCAGTTCCTGGAAGTGAATTATCACCGCAGTGATGAGGAGGTGGTGGAAAGGGTGGTGATGTTTATTCCTGACCTGTGGAATGCTCTCCCATCTCTTGATGACTACCAACAACTTCTTCCTCTATACCAGGAGCAGCTGGAGACTAAACTGCGTGGTGATGTCTATCATCCACACCATCGTTCATCCCTCAACCAGGCATCTAGCTTCATCAGTTTCCTTGTGCCTCTCACATTCTATCACTCTATCCAGCTTTTCCTCTCTTTTGTCTCCTTGAAATTGAGTCCTGCCCAGGGAGTTTTGGTTGTTACAGCTGGTTGATGGGCTTTGCAACACCTGCTGAGTTCTCAAATCATCTCCCAGGCACTTCAACTCTTCATCTAATGTTTTCATCATATTGCTCATCATGACAAGTTGATAGATGAAGTTTTAACTATCCATGATTGATTATTCCTGGATGTGATCATCAAATGTGTTTGAGATGTGTATTTTAGTAATAATTTGGTGTACTTATCACCCATGATATGATTATCAAAAGGAGCATTGATATGTTTGCACTTGGAAACACTCACTCTCCATTCAAGAGGAGAGCTGGTACTTGTACTACTGAAAATTCAGAATTATTCAGTCAACTGAATTTACATTAGCAGAAAATTTCCCAGTATGAGGCCTCACAGAAAATATCTAGCAAGAAATAATGTGAGGTCATGGACATAACATGAATTAACATCTGTGTATGCTGCAGGAGGGACAAGAAACTTGTGGAAAAAGGATGGAGGGACCACAGGAGGAAGTTCATGAAGGACCTTCTTTGGGCTCTCCTCCTGCTCCTGCTTCAGGAGGTTCTGAAAGAAGTCTAAGACGACGAGGTGTCTCCAGCAATGCCTCTAAATCCTCTCCCAGGACTCCTCCCAGTTTGGAAAATGACCTCAAACATCTAAAGGTCATCTTTGACCTTATGGAATATGGGGGTGGAATTATGTGAAAATCCATTCTTAATGATGACATTATTCTTGTTAAAGGCAAGGGTTTACTCCATCTCTTGAACTTTTAGTAAATGAAGATCAGCTTTTATGCAAAACATATATATGGGAAAGAGTAAGTATGAATACATTCATACATTCAATTGAGAAATTTTCCTTCAGAATGATGTTTGAAGTGTTTCAAGAAGATATTGAATATAAGAAATTGTTTTGTAATAGGTAAGACCAGTACCAGTAAATCAGAATACTTATAATTTACAGATCTCTGACTTGCGTCGTCAACTGGAAGAACGTGGGCTAAGCCCAAAAGGTCTGAAGACACAATTGATCAGCCGCTTGGCAAGGGCCATCCAGGAAGATATGGAGGGTGAGAAAATGGGGGTGGGGGAAAGACTGGAGAAAAATCAGGACACAGTAGGAGGAGAAGGTGAAGCTGGAAATCTGGAACTGACAGATGCTGATAATCTAGAACAAGAGGCAGATCAGGATGGAACCCATGGAAAGGACCATAATGTTGACACAGCTGAGGGTCACATTGAAACTCAAGGTTAGTTTTGTTATGTGCTCCATGAACAAACCCTTGAAGCAGGTTCATCTATATACTTCCCATACTTACATTACTGACAGTGCACTTGTGTGCTTTCTTCTACCCTGTTACTCTGTCCATTCCAGTTTACTCATTTGCATCATTCGGTAATATGCCCCTTCTTACTTCAAATCCTGAATAATGCTTTTTTAGGATCCACTCAGAGGAGAGTTTACTAAGGAATTCACTGCTTCAAATGTTAAAGTCACACAAACACCAAAGAAAGAGTGGGGAGGGAAGTGCAATGATATAGCATTTATTTACAAATAATAGAGCTCATGCTGTGGCAATCATTAAGATTCTTTCATGCTGGTTGATGTCTGTAATGAGCATCCTGGCATGACATTTTATCTGGCTTACCTAAAGGGTGGGGAGGGAGGTTTCAATGATGCAGTGAACTGCATCATAACTGAAACTTAACCAAAATTATGCAAATGAAAGAAAATACCTATTACTCTGTCATCAACAGATTAATTCCTGAGGTTGCCTCATGCAAAATACACAACTAAAAAAAAATTAAACTCTGTCTCTGTCTAGGATATCCTATGTATACATAGGTTCTAACTTAGGCTTAGTCTAGAGGCCCAATCTCCCAGTGTGGCTGCTTTTACTACTGAGCAATCTTGCCATGATTTGTAGAGAGACTGGTTTTATGACTTCCCTCAGAAAAGTGATCAGGGAAAAGTTATTGCACAAGCAGATCCAGTGTGTCTGGTTGGCAATAGCATGGCCCATGACATGCCTGTTCCTGTTCTATTACACCTGCATGCACTACCTGTCTGAATCCTTTTGTGAATCTATGTTTTGTTTGAAACTTTCAAGTTAGTGCAGAAAGGGAAGAGAGAAAATTTCTTAAGCCAGGCTGAGAAAACGAGATCAAATGAGAGAGCATTGGAAAATACAGCTTTCTTTTTAACTTTTGACTGCTTTTTAAAACCAGTTTTGATCCTTTCAAGGTGTGCCTATTGCATATTCTATGCATGAACACCTCAAGGGACAACACCATAGGTTTTTTTTTTAATATCAGATTATACACATAATAATGGAAAAGAGCAATTAAAATAAAAGTTGAGTAAAGCAAAGCATTAAAGGGTTCTATATACACCAGCTCCCTTGCTATTTCTTTATATTCAAATGCATAGAAAAAGAAAGTTCAGTTCTCTGATCTTTTTCAGATCCAAGAATGCTAATTGAAAGTGAGCATATTTCTAGAGGCCTGGGTATGCTCCATGTTGTCTTCTAAACTCACTCAATGCAAATAAATTTCTTTGTCACAACATATTCTTTGTTTGCAGTGTTTTTTCCAGAGTGTCAAGATGATGTAGGTTGCAAATGCAGTACTTCCTCTGAATTTATCTCCATACCTCCAGTTGTTTTCCAATTGTGAAAAACCATCTGCTTTCCCAGGTATTACATCAGACCAGGGACAGTTAGGAATTCTTTTAGGGAAGGGGTGGGATGTCCTTGAGCCTTTTTTTATGGCTCATGGCACAGAGTGGATGGAGGAGAGTGGGTGATTGAGAATAATAAAGGAAACTCCAAAAACCATTTGTTCCACCCCTCCAGAAAGGCTGAACACATTGAGATCTCAATTTGCTCAGTGACTTGTTTTATGAAATCCTCCTCCATTAGGGGTGTGCAGTCCCTCTGGGTACACACCCTCCATCCCCCCCAACTATGTACTTGCTATGTACCCCTGCATATTTGTAACCAATTTGCAACTGGCAACAAAGCATGTTCACCTCATTTTCAGTCACAGTGAACCAATCCTGCCCACTATCGCAGAAGGTGGCACTCCACAGTAGCTGCAGCTGGCTAGGAAAATTTTTGCAAACCTGTGAATAAGGTTGGCAGGAATGGAGATTCTTCTTCCTGGAAATTATGATGGAAGGGAATAGATTAAAAAATTTTGAAATATTCATGCAGAAGGTGGGGCAATGTGCAATGCATAGATGGGATAAGGGTAATGAATTCTTGCAAGTCAGAAAGAGGACTATCAATATTAGGTAGGATGGGCTGGGGCAAGCTGGGTCACTCACATCACTCACCTGCATAACCCTTACAGGAAATTCAAATTTTCTGCCTCAGATTTGTGGTAAGAAAATTGTTTTTGCTATACTGAGTTGCTTGCTTACTAACTTCTGGCAGAAAGTGTCCCTAATGAAATTCCTCCCTCCTTAGGCAGAGAGGGAGTCGTAGGACCAGCCTTTATACAATCCTTGGTCTCATTACTTATTTCTTTCTTTTTATTTTTGCTAAATGACACTGGCCAATCCTATTCATTTTTCTATTGCAAAAGCAATCTTGCAGTCTACTGGATCACAATGCCTCTGTGCCTGTTACTATATCATCTTCATAAGTCTTTGATATTGACTTTGGGAATGCTTTTCTACGATGTGCATATACCTTCTTGAAAACGTGTCTATGATATTGATTGGATTGGGATACATTTGAGAAATTAACAGTCTGCTCTTGGATGAGGTGGGACTTTCTCTCAAGTCTATGAATGTGTCACCCAAGGAAAATTGGTTTATCAAAACTGAACAGGAACCCTGATGAAAAAGAAGGGAGATGACATATATTTCCTCAAAACTTTCCAGTCTTATAGATAAAGTTAGGTATGTAGAAGGGAAAATATTTGCAAGCAGGCTTGTGGTTCACAACACTTGGGATGTGCTTTCCCTTGTCATTATTCATATTTATTCCTTCTCTTAATGCTTGTGAGTCTTTGCAAACCCTACCATTCCATGCCACTTGAATCCAACTGAAAGGGAGCTGGTAGATACTCATAAAATACCTTGATTGTTGCCAGTAGGACCAGAGTCAGGAAATGTGGTGTATATGAAGGAGATAAAAGAAGAGGTTGGAGATGTGGACAGGAAAAATCAAGAAGTTGATAAAGATTTGGACAAAGAAGAGAGGGATCGATTGGAAAAGGCATTCAAACTTCCTCCCACACCACACATTTTGGTTCATCCATCTCCAACAGCTAAGTCAGGCCAATTTGACTGCTCCCTCAAGAGCCTGTCTGTCCTCCTTGATTATCGACGGGATGATGCCAAGGTAAGTATCAGGGCTTTTTGTGATTTTTCATTTAATCTTATGATTGAAAATTATAGTATTATAGTATAGAAAATTATAGTACAACAACAAAAAATCTTGTTGGTTTTATTTTTCATTTTTCTCTTTGATTGGTCCTTATCCAATACCAGGAAGTTTAAAAAATTGCATATAATTGGAAAGCCTGTCTCTGTCTAGCTTCCCAACTAAATACAGTTTTCCTGAATTATTGACAGTTTGTGAAAGCATAAATTACCTATTTACCTGTAGCTCCCTCATACAGCAGTTATTTTCAGTGAAAATCTGGTTTTGGATGGATCTCTAAGTGACCTGTAACTAGACCAAAAAAAAATTTCCAAAACTTTTAAGGGGAGATTATGAGCAAAAAATTTTGAAAAAACCCAAAATTTTCCCCCCAAAATTTTTGGCCTAAAAACATTCTCACAGCATTCAGCTTTCAGAAAAACAGTTACAGTATGTTGCAATCACGATTTCTCACATTTTTGGCCCTTATTCTGATAATAGCAAATATTTTCATAGAAAGAAACTACCATTTTTGAACGTGAATATTTTCCCAACTAATTTTTTCTTTCAGCAGAAAGAAATGGGCATAAAGCTTCAGAAAGTCAAAGAAAAAGCTGTAGAAGAGGAGCAGAAAGGCATGCAATACAGAGCTGGAGGATTTTAAAGTAAAATTTGAACTCATTGGTATTGTGAAACCTTTTAAAGTGGAACCTTTTGAAGTAAATTTTAAGGGAGTTTAGATACAGAGACCACTAATACAAATAGTAATATCCATATAATCGATTAACAAGGCTATTATATGAAAACCAATTCAAAGCATTTGTCACATGCGACGCAATTTGATCATTACATCGGTGTAGGATGTTAACATCACATAATTGAATTCATCACTACATTACATTATTATTTGGCATGCTCTACACATTCAGGTAAAAATTAATAATGACTGTGCGACCGTTTTCTCCTTAAGATAGTTGGAAATTTTGCATGTTTAACTATCAATAATTATGTAGTTAGGCAAAAGGAGGACATTTTTATACCATGTGGTAACCCATGCTTTCTGGTACCAGCATGAAAAATTTTTTTTTTTACATCAATGGTGAGGTTTTTGAGAAAAAAAAAATTGTTTTCCCCCTACTTTTTAAGCAAATGATAAAATTTCTCAATTAATATCAAACTAGGTATGAATGATAAAAATGGCAAATGACACCAAGAGATAAATAAATGTAATTTTGGAATATATATTTGATTCAAGATAGGATTCACGTTTAACTATTGAAAAAATCTCCAAAGCAGACGAATTCTGCAGTTTCGATGATTTTGAAAATAAAAAAATATGTTTATAAAATAAAAATGGGGTATCCTTCCATATGTCTATATAGTATGTACTTTCAAGTAAGCAATACATTCTTTTTTAGCAACCTATGTATGTCTAGGAGATACAATACACCAAAAGTGGGGGGAAAGCAGTGAATTGGAAAGTCACCCATTTTAGAGCCCTTCACTTGATAATTTTTTTCTCCATAACCACCGTAGATAAGAGGTGAATGAGCTACCATATTTCATCACTTGGATGGGAGGACCACATATATATATTTGAAAAGTCAAAGACTATGACCTGACATGAAAACTATGGACCTGTCTGACTTAATGAAACCATCCTAGTATACTTTTGACTGTCAAAATACAAGCATGCACATTCCTGATACCTCCAAAAATGTAATTTTTGAGCATCTCTTGGTGAGATGGATGGATTGGAAGAAATTTTTCAAAAAAATTAAATAGGTCCCTTATGCTTTTGCAAACTGTGAATAGAATGCTGAGCTATCAAGGGAAAGGAAAGGAATAAACCAGCTCAAGCAGGCACAGGGAGTTTTTTTGCTAAAAAGAGTACACCAATACCCCATTTTGCCGATCAATTCGATTTGAGTTGATTCAAAGTTGCATCATTTCAGTTTGAGTCATGTTTTCCAATAACTTAACCCCGACGCAAAACGAGGTATTGGTGTATTATTATACACCAATACACCGACTCAAACTGAAATGACGCAACTTCAAATCAACTCAAATTGAATCTATGCAAAATGGGGTATTGGTGTAATACAATATTGAGAGTCTATTTACTGTGATCATTTGTCACTTTCTTCTTGGATGAATTTTTTTTTTTGCATCAAGTTCCTTGTTAAGACTTACTATCTTTATGAACTTGTTACAATGTCACTGTATTGATGTCTCTATCAATAGTTGGAGGCATTGATGATTTCATCTGCTATTGGGATGGCCTCAGTCCTCCCTTTGCTCAGTACCCCACTCCCCTGATTGCAAAAATTGACAATTGAAGGCAGTTGCCTCCTTATCACCACAAGAGATTAAGGAAGCACCCCTGTCACAGCAATTGAGGGTAGTAAAATAATTTCCCTCATTATTCATCAATGCCTCTTTGATAGTTCCAATCAATGCATTGATCTTTTCAAAACAGTCATCATGACATCTGTAGTTCTGCATAGTTACTGTTCCTATTCACATTTGAGTTCTGACCTCCAATCAATGATGCTAATGAGGTACTGGCAATTTTTCTGGCATTAGTAACTTGCACAAAGGTTTCATCATGTCAAAAGAGTTTGATAGGTTGAGAAGCAAGGTCATTATATCTCAGCAGTCAGATGTTTAGGCAGTGTCTGGTACAGGGCTAAGTTAAGGCTGCTCAGCTCTTGTATGGTGAAGTAGAGTTATCTTGAGAGTCACAGAAAACTCACTTTCAATTGTTATGTTCTGTTGAATGGGACTATTCCTTGTTGCTAGCTTGCTTCCTGATAAGAAAAGTTCATAGTTTTCTCTTATGTAACTAATGGGACTAATCATGAAGCAAAATGACCAAAAAACAGGTCATAGGCCATAATGAGGGGTTCCTGTTAGTGCTCACAGCAGTGAGACGAGATTAGGAAGGGTGGAGAAAAGCTGAAATGCCAATTGGTTGCTCCAGGGGCCCAAAACATTATTAACCCATGAGTTAAGCTTTCTAAAAAAAGTAAACTATTCTTCAATTTTGTTTTCTTCAATAGTGTCTCAGTTTCTGTTGCTATATCATGTTATCATTCTGTCACACATTTTTTTGTCACCTTATTTCTTCCTACACTAAGGCATCCCTTTTAATGCTTTATACTGTATGTATTATATCATTGTCCATTGTACTTCCAATAACCCTGGTTAAGAGTAACAGAACTGCTAATTGTCCTTTTCAGTCTTGATTGTGATGTATTACAAGTCTTAACCAGATATAATTTACCTTGTTTCTATTACAGGAACATTCCTTTGAGGTGTCTCTATTTGTAGAGCTCTTCAATGAAATGCTTATCCGGGACTTTGCATGCATCATCTATAGGGTATTACTGAAGGTATGTCCTTTCTCAACAATGCTTTATGCCATCTTGTCAATTTAATTTTTTCACCAGGTGATCAATGGTTTTCAAGACTAGTAGTTCCTCTAGCTTTCCTCCAGGGAATATTTTAACCCTGTGCTGCACTGTATTCTTGATTGATTACACATTTGATTAATATTTATAGATAATGGCTGAAGACTCACTGTGGCAAAGGGGAATTCTAGAAATACTCATATTTCTAATTGGGAAGAACATAAATATTTTTAAATGTATGCTTCATACCAACTGGGAGGATTTTGAAAATGTTTGGTCAGTACCTTAGCTGAATAAAAATCTTTTACCCTTTTCCATTGCAATTTCATACTTTTTTAAAATATTATGTCTAAAAAGAAATGTTATTCCATATTATGCCATGTATCTTTATCTTGGGGCTTTGGCGGTTTGATGTAAAATATATTCTTTCATTGCCTTTGGGAGAAATTTAAAAAAATTTTGAATGTTTTTCTCCAAGGCCTCCATTTGTCATTCAGTAAAGAGCTAATCTCTATGTTTTTGCAGAAACTGATGGACAAAGAGAAAAAACAGAATGGAGAGGAGAAAGAAATAGACAAGGAGAAACAAGTGAAAGAGAAAGAGGGGAATGGGACTCACAAGGACAGGAAGATGTTGACAGTGAGGCCAAAACTCCTCTTGGCTTTTGTCTACTTTGACGTCAATCATTGTGATTACATTCATGAAAAGGACCTGGAGGAAATCCTCCTTCTGGCTGGCATGGATCTCTCTCGTGCTCAGGTTGTCATCTCTTCCTTATTGCTCTCTTTGCCATCAAAGTCATTATTCTTGAATGCTGAACAAGGTAGCATTGTATTGCAGGCCAGAAAATTGGTGTCTTGTGTGGCCTCTGGAGGGAAAGTGTATTATCGAGAACTCACTGATGAAGAGGATACTGGAGACAACCAAGAACTGGGTAAGGATTAATATTCTTTAACTTCCATTTGTTCCATTTTGCCAGAGTTTTGTGATGGATCAATGAAATTCATTCTACAGACGACACCTCCCTTTTGGATATCCTTGCTCAACCTCTGGAAGAAGAGAGTGAAAAAAAGGACCAAGGTACCTTGCTTGCTTCCTGTATCCATTTCATCTAGCTGTAGTTCCCAGATTTTGATTCCATGTTGTAATGGACAGATGAGTTCAAGGTGATGTATGGAGGGATGGTGGTAGATGTGGAGAAGCTTCAGGCAACCTTGACCAGGACAGAAGCAGCCCAAATTGCAGCTGTGGCTCGTGTACAGGACCTACAGCAACAACTCGGTTGGCCTGCCTGATTTCACTCACCATGGCGGAATGATGATGTAGAATGCAGCTTGTAAGGGCAGTTTTGGCTGATTTCAGAAAGTGTGAAGAAGGAAGCAGGGCATGTGGAGTCAGAGAGAAAGTCCCTGCTGGAGGAGAACCGGGACATCAGAAGACGACTGCATGAGGCTGAAGTGAGCTCAAATTCTCTGTTTTCAATATTAATTCAGGATAGAAACTTGATCTTGGCTCAATTCAATGGTTGATTTTATCAGGATCAGCTAACAAAATACATAATGGCCGTGAAGGAGGTTGGAAAAGCTATCAATCCCCTTCTTCCCAGTGAATCACAACACTCCAAAGACAGGGAAGACCAACTCATGACCTTGACTGAAGAAGTGAGACAAGAAGAGGAATCCTCTCCCAAGTGATTTACTTTGGCTACATTTTATTTTTTACCTTTTCCTCTTCAATTTGTTTCATTCCTTCAGTTCTTTCCTTTCACCTTTATTCTCATTTATTTGAATAAAAAAGACCAGGAAGCATAGTTCAAATGATGTGGTGTTCTTTATTCACATTATGGCAAGCAGGCATCTGAGTTCTGTATTCTATGGCCCAAAATCAGGGTCCACTCTTGGACTTTTCAGTCTATTTTATAATAAATGGATTTGTGAAAGGTATGGCAGTGGTACTTTCCTGTCTCAACTTAGTTCATTCTGGGTATTTAGTAGAGCTTTTTCTTTTGCTTGATTAGCCATGATCCAATTAGCCCTAGAATGTGGCCACAGTTGACAAGATCTACAATGAAACACCAATTTCTTTGAAGCCTATGAAAGGAATGAAGCCTTCCCGCCCATAGGCCTAGGACAGACCACAGGCTGTGGGCCAAGGGCCGAATTCCTCTTCTCTACAATAGCTATCCTCTTCTACCTTTTATCTCCTTTTCTTCCTGTCGCATTTCTAGGTCTTTATCCACAGGGAATAGTTATATTTCCGGTTCAGAGTTGGCTCCCTCTGATGCATACTTGGGCTCGGATTGCAGCAAATTTATTACGTATCCCGGTTAATGATCCCAGTCTATTGGCTCCTCTTTCTTTTTCCAATCTCTCTTTGACTGACAGCCTATGGAAGTAGTAGAACCCTTCGGGCACGAATCTCCACACCAGCGGAAACCTCTTCCTGCCAAACAGTGGTCCTGCAGATGGTGACTTGGGCATCGTCATGTCCACATGCACAGAACGCTCCGCACTTGGTTCCTCTAGGAATCAAAGGTGTGAACCTTGTCCAGCTAATGGACTGTGCAGGAGCGGTGCATGTAGGACGGACTTAGCTATGGAAGCTTTCTGTTACTTCTGTTGTGGCAGCCACTGTCTTCTTCCTTTGTGATTATTCCCTGGTGTGGGGATGTCGAAAAGGGTTTTGCTACACTGCAAGTTGTTTTGGTAAGATCGTGCCCCTGACGAGACTCCTACGACTTGCCAGCCCATTAGGCCTCCTTAGCTGTCTATTCGCTTTTTAAACCTCTTTTCCTTTTCCTGCAATAGTTTGGCCTCATACTGACCGTTTGTCTGTCTTGATCAGCACGAATTTTCTATCTACTATAATGCGTCCAGGTGTCTCTTGTTGTCGGCTTCGCTCCCAGCACCTGGGAATAATCACAAAGGAAGAAGACAGTGGCTGCCACAACAGAAGTAACAGAAAGCTTCAGCTCCTGCGACCTTGCAGACAGCGATCTGACTGAGCTGAACCACCGTGCCTTCGCAGCTGCCATTACCATCCATCAGAAATGGCAAGGACCAGAAAAGCCGACCCCGATATCCACCTTGGAAGAGGCGCCTCCAAAATGACAATTCACCTTAGCACCCTTCAAGAGATCAAGTGTTTCCCACACGTCCCGGAAAGTGAAGTTGACCTACAAGCATCTGTGCCCCAAGTACAAGATCACCTCCAATTCCGACTTCCCGACCGCCATAGAGAACGTGAAGATGAAGATCCAAGCTTGGGGCCTCAGGATAAGGCGGTACACGAAAAGGGTCAATTACTTCCGGCATAACGAGCGCCTCACGAACAACCAGAAGCTATTTTACAGGGAACTGGGAACGAAACCCATAGAAGTGAAGAAGATTCCTGGCAAGGCAGAAGTGGAAGAATTCTGGTCGGACATCATGGAGTGCCCGGTGAACCACAACGTCGATGCCACATGGCTCCGACGTCAGAGGAACAGATACTCCCGAAATGAGTGACCACCAGATTACAACATCTGATCTGAAGAAGGCGCTCAAACAAACAGCGAACGGTCGGAGGACGGTCGCGTCCCGGGCTCTGGAAGAGCCCGGGACACGACCTCCGACATATATACAGGGTGTCTGAAAAGTCACTCCCTATTTTAACATTGTTGTTATCTTCATTGCTCCAAAACCAAAGGAGATATTTAAAATTTTCTTTAACTGAATTGAAGATTATTTTTTTTACCGTTTATAACAAAATTGAAAAGCTTTATTAAAAAGTTAAAATTCAACGTAGTCTCCAGCATTGTCCACACACTTCTGTAACCTTACCGGTACATTTTCAGGGTGTCTGAAAAGTCACTCCCTCTATTTAAATTGCTATTGCTCCTAAACTAAAGGAGATTTTATATATATATATATATATATATATTTTTTTTAGCGTACCCTAATTGCTTACTGTCTAGTACCTAACGTCAACATTGCCCCCCCCCCCACCTTTTGGCCTGTCCATAAAAGCATCCAGTTTCTTCTTTAAAATGTCACAGAAGGGGCAGCCACTAATTCGTCGTCTAAAGCATTCCACGCATTCATCATTCTGCAAGTAAAGAATTCCTGTCTCGACCTAAGCCGCACCTGCGGTTTACGCAACTTTAGTTGATAACCTCTCGTTCTCTTGCTTCCATCGAACTGGAAAAGCCTATCACAATTGGTATCCCAGTGGGTGTTATTGCCTCTTGATACCACTAAACAACCTTGAACCTTGATAGAAGTACTATTTTTTCGAGCCGCCAATAAGGTCCTAGGAAAAGTCATTCCGGAAACACTGTAGAAACTTCAGTCTGACTCAGTCATAAGGGCATCAAATGAAAAATACCCAAGACAATAAGAAAAACTAAAAAGCAGAGTTATGGCAAAAAAAAGTCTTGAAAAAGTTTGAGTTCAATATTGCTCTTTCATCTGTTCTAACCCAGTTAGTATACTTTTCAGTTCGGTGGTTGGCCCCTGTTGGCACGATCAGGATCGTTTCGGGTGCGTGGTGGCATTGCTAATCTAGGACCCAGTAAACATTTTTGGTATTCTTCCACGTCTAGTCGGGTAAACTGGGCTGGAGATGGGAAGCTGACCTAATGAGGTTGGGATTGACTGTTAGCCTGCCATCTGCCATCTCTTGGCAGTTTATCGCAATTACGCAATCTCGACGCGGTACGATAAAAGTAGGCTTCGGGCGTCTCGTTCTACGATTGACTCGCTTTGATTGTGATATTGTGTTCTCTCACCTTGTGCCAATCTCATTTTTCTAGAGATTTCTGCGACTTATGTTGTTGGCCTCGTCCTGCTGTTCATTCATAGGTAATCTTGTCGGGTGTATCAAAGGAGTTAGGTTAGGGCCTAACAGGAAAAATAAAGTTGAATATTTCCCAAGTTTAGGCCGCAAAAAACCAGGTTTTTTAATGGAAAAATTAGAGCCAACCGTTGCTAGGACTGCTTCTAGGCCAAAAGTTGAACCTAATGTTAGTATTTTTTGTTTTCTTTGCAGGCAAAGCTAATATAAGCCTAACTTGCTTTAGACTGGTCCATCTTGAATAAGTGCCATTTCATTTCATTTTGCTTGGGTGATTAGCGTCACTAAACGCATTTCCCTAACTGAGCATACTGTCTCATAGCATGAGACCTGTGCCATTGTGACAGAGACTTCTCAGAATCTGAGGCAAGCATTTGCATCTGTTGAGAGCTGCAACAAATAGTAGAAGCAGTCCCCAAATCCAAAGGAGACATTCACTCTTTAAAACTGCAGCTGATAAGTATTCCAGGAATCTTGGTGGTGTATCCCCTATCATCATATTCCATTTTGAACTCTTTAAAATCGAATTGCTAAACTAGGGGTTCATGGAATATCTGGAAGGTATTCAATGCAGAAAATCTGATCTGAATTGTTGCAAGCCAATTCATTCCATATTGAAAAATTAGGTGTTACAATAGTGGATAGTGATCCTGGTTTATGCTTAATTCACTGAACACTACTCTAGGCATTTGTATCTTGATTCAGTTGAAAATATTCAGTTCTAATCTGTGTGTATGCAAGTGGCAGAAATGCAGAGACAGAGGGGCCAGCTCAAGGAACATGAGAACTGCCCTCTGTCTTGACCTCTGATGCATTGTAGGATGCCAATAACTTACTTCATGGTTTCAGATGTTCAGTCTTGAGTGGAGTAGTGCTTATCTTTAGAGTAGTGCTTATATTTATTCATTTAATGCCTCTTTTTTGTATACTCTTGAAATCTGGCTTTAATTATTTTCCCAAAGCCATAGTTAATGAATGGCATGTGTGCTGCCTCTCTCATTTTGACTGTATCCAACAAATGGGGGGAGGGGGGAGGAGAAAGAAGTATTTTAACTCTTTGAGAATTTAACAGGGAAGATTTAATCTTTACTAGGATGTGGAGGTTGGATAAGGACTTCAACTTCTGTAAACTTATGTTCACTCAAAAATTTTAAATGTCTTAGATAGGACAGCCTCAGCTACAGCTAATATCATATGGTAATCCAGATAACATATTGAATCATAAGACATTGCTTCAGTTACTTAGTGTACAAGTCTGTTATTGGGGGCAATTAATTTCCCAAGATACTAGAGACAAGTTGTGCATGGTAGCAACTGAACTGAGTTTATGGGTGGATAAAAATGGTTTTCTGAGTATATCTAGAAATAAAATGGCCTCAAAGGACAGACTAAAATTGAAATGTAATGCAGGACTTAAAATGGATTAGTAACATTTTGTTATTGATGTTATAACTGTGTCTGGATCCCCATGTTAATTGAAGGCTTTTAAAGGAACAGTTAATGGTGAGTCAGAGTTAGGAAACTTGACCAAGGAGTTCCATGGCAGTTTTTTTTTATTATCTGTGCTAACATTGCATGCATATATGACAAAAATTAGTATTAAAAAATTGTTGGTCCACTTAATATATATGTATGTCAGCATAAAAAACGAAGACTTACGGCACTATTGAAATTCACTGGTAGTACTAGTGTGACTGTTGATGTAGGCTAGCTCTGTAAGCTCTTGATATCTTGCAATGTTGCCAATTCGTCAGCATAAACGTTAGCTCAACTTCCTCATCTATATTCACATGTATACCTGAGAATTTGTGTTAGCATGACACAAGGCATGACTTTTATGAATATCACAGAATCTGGCTATTTGCAGGAAATCAGGGACTGTGTCTCATGAGGAGCTTCCTGCACTTGATGAAATAAGGGACACAAAAGTCTGTGGCTAAAATGGACTATGTCTCAAAATGAGCGAATTTATATGGATTCAAAGAATAATCAGAATATTCCTCGAAGCATCATAGGGATACAATTCATGGAGGGTAACGACTGAAACTTTGACGTCCCAAGCGCGTGGTAGTGACGTTTCATCAACGTCATGACGACGTTTTCTGAAGTCGACATTTTTCAAATGTTGCAGACGTCCATTATGACGTCGAAACAACGTCGACGTCGCTGTGGTCACAAAATCACATTTCAGCAACGTTACCTGGACGCCATGTGTTGCTTGTGTAGGTCTAGAAGAGAAAGGGTACAAGAAATTGAAATCACTTGTCCCCTTCATGAGTGAAGTCAACTCCATGGCTTGTAAAGATAAACTCATGTACAAGTCTCGACGTCGAAGGTTCGAAACCACAAGTCATTCAGAAGACTTGAGAGCGGTGATCTGAAAACGACTAGAATATCAATAAGGAATTGGTAAATTGCGAAGAAATTGCAAAAGGGGGGAAATAATACTAATCCGGTCCTACACTGATGTTCCGGCTCCACAAGTGGCGTAGGGAAGGAGGGGGTGGTGGGGTGGGGAGTAAGGGGTTGGAACCAATGGCGCAACAAAGGTGGGTTGTAAAAGGGGTCTGAAGCTCCTCCAAATCCCTGCTCATGATGGTATTTCTCTACTTCTCCATCCCCTTCTCGCCCAGGGACACAGAAAGCTAAGAGCAAACGACCTGGGAGCAAGGTGAGAAAGGCACAAAAATAGGCGGTGAATGTCACGCCAGTCACATGTAGCTACTCACATTAGTGAAGTGACCCTGTCAAGAAAACGCCCGGCACGTGTCTCGCCACTGCAATATTCCTGAAAACGGAAGGACGAAGATTGATATGAAAGGCGCGAACACGTCAAGTTAACGAATTTCTGCGTGTCAGGTTGCAACTGCGATCCGCCAATTAAATTGGTGCCGAATTTTCTGGAACAAAGTGAATTTGTTACCAATGTCGAACAGCAGCATTATGAACACAGATATCATGAGATCCGACGTCGAATGACACAAGAATGAATAAGGAATTCAGGAGATGCAATGCTTTTCCGTCGGGCACGACTCGCGTGTCGGGTTGCAACTGTTGATGATGTTGGTGCCTACTTTTCTGAAACCAAGTAAACAACCTCCGACGTCGAATTACAGCACAAAGAAACAGAAATTGAAAAGATTCGATTCTTTCCGTCGGGCAACACATAGTTGTCGAGCTACAAATTCGCTCGGTTGAGTTCGAGATGGAGCCATCCTCTTTCTACAACAGATTTATAGTGAAATGAACTTGCAATTCTGAAGATCGCCCACTTTAGTCTCTAGTCTTGTTCGGGCAGAATTTTTCGTAAACTGAAACGTTTTCGAGATGAAGGAGGGAGAAGCGAGGCAGCCACACAAGGCCCATTGTTGAGTACAGGAACATGTGGCATTGTTTCTTGAATTCAAAGGCATTCCGTCCACGGCCAATTAGGTAGCGCTGAAGTCGTCTGCTCCTGCACGGAACTTGGACTCCGTATTATAGTGTTCCCAATCCAACTTGAGCGTGGGAAAAGAAGGGGAAAGTGGCAGCCGCACAAGGCCCATTGTTGAGTACAGGAACATGTGGCATTGTTTCTTGAATTCAAAGGCACTCCGTCCACGGCCAATCAGGTACCGCTGAAGTCGTCTGCTCCTGCGCGGAACTTGGACTCTGCATTATAGAGTGTTCTCAATCCAACTTGAGCGTGGGAAAGGAAGGGGAACGGATACACAGGGAAAGGGAAGGAATACGAGCGCCAGCAAGTCCGGCAAACGGCAGAGTGTGGCTGGCTCCACATCCCCTCGTTTGAGGGGATTAGGCAGGAGGGAGGCACGAGAAGAGAGGGAGCGAAGTGCGTGAGTACGCAATGCAACGGGGAGAACCAATGAGGTAACAGCCTGCGCTCGCGCATTATGAAGGGGAAATTGAATGAATGAATTTAATAAATATTTTCCCACTTGCACATCCAGTGGAATTAATAAAGAATTTCGGAACCATTGGAATCCTGAAATGCTCCTCCTTAAAATAAAATGAATGCGTATACTATCAATTCCTAATAAATGGAGAAAAATGGCTCTAAATTTGTGACTTGCCGTAAAATTTCAAACTTGGGTTCAGTAAAATCGTAAAGGATCTGAGGCGGATGAACGGATTCGCTTGATTCTGAAGCTTCTCGAGAGACTTCCCCACAGATTTGAGTGTTGATTTTTTTAGATTCGCTCTCGTTCTCGAGAAATGACCATGAACCTGGGGTATTATGGAAAAATAGAGGGATTTTGAGGTATATCATCGAACTTCCTGGGAAAACGGATCGATGAATCATTGTGCCCTTTGACACGAAGACGGACGAGGATGGTCTCCAAAAACTAGTATGCTTTTTCCGGTGCAATGTTTCTACGGGAAATGAGCGAGGGAAGAAGTGAATTCGCGAAACGCGAATTTTCACAAAAGGCGCCATGGCGTCTCGAGAAGCAGATAGATGAGCAAAATTTTTGGCTCGTAATTTAGCATGTTCTGTGGCGAGGAAATTGGCGCAAAATTGACGTTTCTGCGACCAAGGGTTGGGGAGATGCAGATTTTCAAAGAGAGGCATGGAAATCGTGACCTTTGACCATTCGCCACGGTCAGGTGCTTGACCTGAGAGTGCCAAAAAGTGGCTTCAAGGTCCTCCCTTGGGGTCCTCTACAATAATTATAAGCCAGAATTTGATTCTAGGGGGGTCGATTTTCATCTTCCCTTAGTACCTTAACTGCAGAGGAACGTGAGGCTGTTAACAGTGCGCATGTGTACGCATTGAACCAGCGATTCATACTGGAGCTGCGTGGGCAGGGGCGCCCAACGGCATTCCAGCTGTTCCGCTCGATCTCGGCCCTATGAATGTGAATGCTTCGTTGAGAAGTGTCAGGCTGCTCATTTCGAAGCGGAGAAAGACCATACTTCGCAACAGTTGTTGTAATGGTAAGCCGTATCCGCCAGAGTCTGTAACTCTGTTGATGGGGGAAGATGCAAACTCTCGCAACTTTTGAGACTTTATCTGGCAGTACAACAGCGCAAAGGCATTTTCCTCCTTGTCACTGGATCTGCTCCCGCATAAAATGTGTCGATTATTGCGCAAATATCAAGCTTCATTTGGGACAAGGCACCGATGACCCCCCTGAAGCGCTGCCATGGATCGATCGAGCGTTGTGAGACTTGATGGACGATGATCGTTCATACTGTGGCAAAGTTCCGGTTTTATTGGGTGGTGACTTTCTGTAATCATTACCAGTCGTCCGCCAAGCGTCTCGCGGTCAAATCATCGAGACTTGCATCAAATGAGCCCGTTATGGCCATTGTTCCGAACGATTCGTTTGACGGGAAACATGTGTGTTGTTTCGAACGAAATTCGCGTTGTTCATTGGATGTTCTATGTGGGCAGCAGAACGTTTCCGCAAGAACAGCGCGGCCTATCTAAGCTCTCCGTGCATTTACAGACGATTGTATAGTGGCAAAGTGCGTCATTCTGTTTCCCAAGAACGAACTCTTCCGTTTGGTCAACGAGGGCATGTCGTCTTGATTGGAAGGCGAAACGTGGACTCATCGAAGTGTTGGCACTGTGAAGAGCGATCATGGTAGTGATGAGACCGATCAGTAGGTCAGCTTTCCGATTGAACTCCTCTATACCTTCAATCCTCCATGTCTCCCTCAGCACGTCCTTAGAGCCTAGGCCTTAAAATTGGAGCTATGGTAATTCTTCTGCAGAATCTCTTGATCACGGAATGGCCTTTGCAACGGCACGAATATGATCCTGAGAGACATGAACGCCAGTGTCTTACAAGTTGAGGTGTTCTCTAAAACTCTTCGTGGCAGCGTCCATTTGTTGCCAAGAGTTTCATTGGACACGTCATCCGACGTCAGCATACCGTTCGATCTTTGTCGACATGGATTTCATATCGAGCTTGACTACTGTATAACTAAAATCAAGTCTCACGAAGAGACATTCGATCGAGTCGGACTACTACTTCCGAAGCCAGTATTCGAGAATGGGCAATTGTACGTTGCCTGCTCGCGAGTTCGCTCTGAAGGATTCACTGAAGAATCATATTATTGAGGGACTGAAGCAAGGCAAAACTGATGCTGGCTCTGTTACCGATAAAGTACTTCTTTGTCAAATCCATTCGTCGGAACTAATTATGTTCATTATTAAATGAACTTTTCGTCTCGTTCCCAAGCGTGTCACGTTCCTTGACTTTTCCTGGTTACTACCATAATTATAAACTTTACACGTATAAAACTTTTTTTTAATATTTTGTGCATACTAACCGGTGTAGTACGTTGTGCCTCAGTATCTCTTTGATGCATCTATGCTCCATTATGAACTAGGTAAGGCTTATCTTAGTTGATGAGCCATGGGAAAAAAAATTAAATCCTTAGGTAGAAGGAAGCATTTGTGCCCATAGTCCCTCACGAAATAGATACAAAATTCTGGATTCATTTAGGAAATATGGATTCCTTGTAGTGACTTTGGAATATGTAATATTTCTTCTTGGAACCCCTGGCCAGTAGTATTAATACTTGGAGTCTACCCCCCTTCAGCTGGGTTACCTCTTTAAACGGGTCTATCTAGGAATTCCAAAGCCTTCCCATGAGTTGCACGTGGGGAAAGATCGGGTAATGTGTGAAAAATAAAGGGGACTCATTATTCGAATGGTACCAGGGTGAGAATCGCTAAATCGGCGCTTATGTGCCATCTTGCGCCGATTGCTCGAACCTATTTAAATTTGGATGTCTCGACCATGTCTCAACATTTCAGCTTTTAACAATACCGACACAACGTTGTTGTGCCGAATGGGGACTATTACACTTCCTTGAGCTAGCTTTTGCCTTTGAGTATTTTCAGAATACATGAATAATACCCTCAGCCAAGACCCGCGAAATTCGAACAGCAATAATATAATTTTAATAAAAGTTGCTGCGGTGATGGTGATTAAAAACCTGCATCTCATTTTCATTTCTACAATTCCTGGCTGAGCCTGTTGGGGACGTTAATTTCCGTGGTGGTAATGTTCATGATCCAGTGGGAAGTGGCCCTCGCTACTTTCGGCATCATTATGACCTTCTATCTCCTCGTCCACTACCGCAAACCCGGTATGCACACTTTATCCACCCTACTTATTCCTCTTCGTCTTCATTGCTTCAAATTGGAGTCTCTGACGACGTTCAGAGGCGAACTGGGGCTCTAGCACGCAAGCGCAAGTGTACTCGACCGCTCTGAAGAACTCACACGCTCTCAACAAGACGGCCGAACACGTGAAGAACTACAGACCGCAGTTGCTCATCCTTTCTGGTCCACCCAGTTCCAGGCCTTCCCTCCTGGACTTCGCATATCTCCTCACCAAAGCCAATTCCCTTCTCATCGTCGGTCATGTTGCCAAGGTCAGTGCCAGTTGGTCGCCGATCGATAGGGAGAGATTTATAGAGAAGCAGGACTAATTTCAATGCGGTCCAATGCACTTAGTACCAAGTTAAAAATTACAAAAAAATCTGCTATAATTGGTCAACAGAAAAGGATGAGGGGGGTCAGGTCCTACAAGAAAAAGTTTCATGTGAATTGATATTAAGCAAAAGAGGTACAGTATATAAGGGATTCTCTATGACGAGCTCTGTACATTATGTGAAGTTCATAATTCCAAAATTATCGCATCAGGATTATTACTATTGCTGTATTGAAGGAATGTGGCGAAAAGGAACACTCGAAAGTGATTTTGAGCTTTAGCGTCTGGTTTTGTGTGGACGATGAAAGGAGTATGAACAAATATAAAATGGAAATGCAGTAAAAAGGGTGGAAACCTACTTGTTTCTCAACGTAGAACGAACTCAAGTCTTTCCCATAACCCTCATTACTTTTCGGGAATAACTTTTCTTGCAAAGGTGGAAAAGAATATAAACCCTTGATAAATGTCAAAGGTATGTTGGCGTCGGGATTGTTTACATTGGATACATGAAGCGAGACTATTTAGCGAAACCCGATTGACTAATGTAATAAGGAAACAAATACATGTTGGATGTTACTTCGCACATTCACACAGCATCGATGAGGTCTTGCGAAATATGCGATCAAGAAGTAGCTAAGTTTGGGGATTACATGAGGGCCTCGATGACCCTGTAGGATTCCCTCATATTGCATCATCAGAAGTAAATAGAATGAAACACTGTGAATTTGACTGATTCCCGGTCTGGATTCCTATATTTGATAAGTCTCTTCCCTACTTATGCGTGTATCTACGGAATATATATCACTAGTGCCAAGTCACGAGAATGATATAAATATTAATATGTATTGGCAGGCGTACGTGCACGAATACAATAAATGTAACTAAATTTGGGGTTGAACCAATACAGTGTACATTTGGTGGTGCAGCCTTATCGTTATAACTTGAGGGGCCTTGTATCACGCGAATTTTAAGAAAGGAACTAACATACTTGAATTGTTTGTAGGGTCCCATGAAGCACTCGGAGAGGGCCACCCTGATCCAGATGGGTAACGCCTGGCTCCAGCGTCATGGCATTAAGAGTTTCTATGACATTGCAGTGAGTGATCGTTTTGACTGGGGTGCGAAGTCCTTGCTCCAACTGTCTGGGTTGGGGAAACTCCGTCCGAATATTATTCTCCTCGGTTTCAAGGCTGACTGGCGTTCTTGCAACCCATCCGACATGCTCCAATACTTCAATGTTATCCAGTCAGTCTTTTTTCTGTGATCCCAGTCTTTCTGTCATTTCTGTTTCCCCTGCATACATTTCTGATGAATATGAGATGAACTGAGAGCAGCTTGAGAGAACCAACACTGAATTCATAGTGACCACGAACTTTTCGAAATGCCTTATTTGTCCACATGAACTGAATAGGTCAATGCAACGACATGAATCTGAGGGTGGAATGGTAGTAAGCAAGATTGAATTTCGAGATACAGTATGCTATTTCCATGGGTATTTAGTGATGCATTTGACAATCACACGGCGGTGGGGATCCTGAGGCTTCAAGAGGGTCTGGACTACAGTGAGATCCTTGACGAGAAGGTACCCGTCGGGGAAAAGGAAACCCTCGAGACCAAGATATCTGACATTTCTCTGGGTGAGCGTTTCTCACTCTCAGCTATTGTCATATCTGCTTCTGCGGAACATCCTCACTTCCACAACGACCTTTTTAGGATATGTTTTCTCCCTGGACCTTGTTTAATCTTAGCTAAGGTAAAGGGTGACATGCACCAGATCAGTTCAACTTAAACTATTCTGAGCTCACAGTGGTCGTAAATAGTAATCCGTTTGAGGGAAATAATCCCATTCCCATGGACGCCTTTTACGAAACCAGATGAGTTTCAGTTGAACCGATCTGGCGCATGTAACCAAAACTTGTGCTTTCGCTGAACTTGATGATTTAAGGTATAAATTTGTCTATTAAAAAGTATCAAAAGTTTAAAAATGGGCCTGGCGCAGTTCAGCATGGACGACGGATTCGCCGGGAGGGTGTAGAAACTGGGAATGTTTCGTACGAATAGTTTTGTCTTCACTGGCAATGTGGCATGAGTGGAAATAGATTGATTGTCCAACTGGATTCCAGATTTCCCGGGAAGTACAGAGCTTTGTGCTGAGATGTAGCCTGGTGTCAAGCTATATGGCAATATTCTAATAGAATTCCTAAAGAAAAAGAAACACTCTCTTAAACGCTACACATATACGGTTCATATCAGGTCGCTGCTAACTTAAATTTCTCATGTTCTATGTCCCTTCATCTCGCCTACAGCGATGAAGGACTCAGAGAGCTCGGTAAATAGGAATAATACACTTCTGTCAATTCTTGCATTTCGATTTATTTTTTTTTCAAGAGGAAAAGGCATCAACAGGAATTTCAATTCGTGTCAGTCTCTTCCAGATCGTGCCGTTTCTCCTGAAAGGCGTCTGCTAAACCGTAAAACTTTTATAACTGAGATGAGAGGGGCTGTTGGCTGCGCATCGTCATGTCAACCTCCTTCTTCCACTTCCTGCCGATGGTATTCTCGAGTCTAGTCTTTCAGCAGGATGGGGCACCATGACAATTATGCCAGAATTGTTCAGACATACCTGAACAGGCGTTTTCCAAATCGTTGCATTGGACGTGGGGAAAACAGGCCTTTGGCACCGCGATCTCCGAGTTTGACCCAATTGGATTTCTTTGCCTGGGGTTTCATTAAATCAGAGGTTTATCGCAGAAAAATTCTAGATTTACCATATCTGCGAGATCGCATTAGGCAGCCCGTTCAGAAAATAAACCCCGAACTGCTCGCAAATGTGTTCCTCAATGCAGCAGACCGATTTGAGATTTGCAAAGATACTGATGCAGCGCACGTGGAAGGTACTGATTAAAGATTATTGCAGTGTATTTTTATTTCGATCTGTTATAATACTTGTATTTTGTATGGAAATACATGTTTATTCAAGTCATTGAGCCATTTGTTTGAAATTCCGCCTATTTCAACAAAATTGATAGAGCACACCCTGATTGATTGCACACCCTGTATATATATATATTTTTTTTTTACATCGAATAACGATTTAAAACTGATGGACATAGAAAGTGCAAAAATATTCAAATTTGGGGCAGATTTCCTCGTATGGGAGGGGATAAGTGGAAGCAGAACTTCCTGAATCCTAAGCCTGATGGAAACTCTCCAAGCCTATATATTTATGCCAACTTTCGTTAAAATGAAGTTCCACGAACGCCTCCTGCTCCATGGTCCTTCACCCTATAACACTCCTAATGCTCCTTGTTACTTTACTCGAGCTTAGCCTTAGGATATCGAATTAACAATGAGAACAATGAGCGCTGCTATCCATCAAGCATGTCTCAAATTAGGAGACGCCTCTTGAGAATATGTTCTATTGTGTGCAGGGAAGACTGAAGCAGAAGCGAGCTCATCGTCCGTACCCCAGGTGCCTCAAACGAACCACTTAGGTGATGAAACGGGAAAGAAGAAGGGGGGAAAGGGGGAGAAAATGAAGCAGAAGAAGCAGTGGTTGTCGCGGATGTATTGTGGACCGAACGGGATCCCCTTGCCGAAGACGGTCGTGGAAAACTTGACTCGGTTCCAGCAGAAGCAGAAAGGAGGCCGAATCGATGTGTGGTGGCTGTACGACGACGGTGGACTCACTATCCTCCTTCCTTACATCTTGACCCAGAGAGCCCAGTTCTCCTCTGCATCCCTCCGCGTCTATGATTACAGTTTGGCGGCGCTATTAAGCAAGTTTCGGATCGACTACAGTGACGTGGTCGTCGTTGCTGATATCCAGAAGAAGGCGACACCAGAAACTCACCAGGAATTCGATGCCCTCATTGAACCATTCAAACAGCAGGTCAACGAAACCAGAGAACTAGGTACTTGCACCAAAAAAATTCAAATAGCACAAAATAACTTTTGCCGTTTTGTCCTCTGATGGATTTCGCTGTTTATTTTGATGCATAACAGGAACTTATATCACGAATGCAGAACTAGTGGCAAAGCGCGACAAGAGCAATCGCCATATGAGACTGAGAGAACTTGTACTTCATCATTCTATTGAGGCTTCTCTGATTGTCATGTAAGTATATTCATTGCATAGATCGTAGGGTTCATGGTAGAGGGGTTTGTCTCAAAAGAAGTTAGAACGTTGGTCAGATGTAACCTTGGTGGTAAGGGATTCAGGAAATCTCCGAAAAATGAAAGCTTTACAGCAGATACCCCGTGATCCCTCAACCCATCCTGGGAACAAGAACCCACGTGTCAAGTTTCCTCGCTACTCGATCGTGTGTCGAGGCCACTGGCCGATTCGTGCGCTGGCAACATTTAGTTGCTCGATGGACTTATTGTCTAAAATTAGAGGGATCGGTTTTACATCACGTGAATCATAATTATTGTATGGTAGCGACTTCGTCGAGGGAACAACCTTTTTTGAATAATATCCTTTAGGAGCGGAAGGTGTGCTGAAAAGCTTCACATATTGCACTATCTTCGCGACTAGCTTTTATGATTCATTCTGTTGAACCCCTTAGTTGAATTATGTATTTATTGTAGTTAGTGTGATTTTGCTGATGCGGTTTTCCTATCGTCATTGAAGTATTTATATTGCGAATTTCATTTAAAATTCTTCATAATTAATTTTAATTTCTCACTGCGGAACAATAGCATATTATTGCATTTGCAATACACACTAGACTGTTGGCCTTCGTCGAAACTGCCTTTTCTTACCATTCGCTTGATCTCTGTATGAAGTCACATTGCTTAATATGACTCCTGAAAAACTTACAAGGTGATCATTAGGATGCATGTATATTTGCCACCAGTGGAGGGAACTTTGGAAATAATACCTTCTTAGAAGTACCGGACGAGATTTCTCAAATAAGCCAATTTTAGCTGAAAATAGTTTCATCTGAAGAAAGTGACGTGGATTTTTCTGAATTCAGAACCTCTTTTTTAAGTCTTTAAGGAAGTTTTTTTTGCCCAGCTGATCCCACGAAATACTGAAGTGATCAAATACTTGACGGACATCCTTATTAAACGTTCCCAACGAAATGGCTCGACTCTCTCTCAAAAAGCACTGCTATATGGTTCGTTCGGCTAGTTCGTACAGCAATTCTTGACGAAATATTGCACTGCATGCAAGGCACAAAACACGTGAAGCGCTTTAAAGATTGTCGTTGGTGGAAAATGGCCTGTATAAGCTCGGCCGCCATGCAAGTTCTGAGCGGCCAAGAAAATAATTGGGTGTGCGAAAGTCTATTTTAAAATACAGGGTGCTTATAAAGTTCGTGAAACTTCGAATTCAGTAACTTTTTATGTACGTATGATCGAATAAAACTGTCAAAGTAATATGTTTGCATACATATTAATGCTTTTTAAAATACTAATTATACATTTCTATGCGTCTTAAGTGACCACAATATTTCGTGATATATCATTCAATCCGATTTTTTCCAAAAGTTTAAAAAACATTTTCCAGTTGTTGCAGGGTAATTTCATTAATTGCATTTGCGATCCTGGATAAAATTTCTTAATGTGAATGTCGTTCTCATTGGAAAATAACACATTTAGCATGGCCCAAACGTAGTCCAGTGAGACACTGGTTCGATGAACAAGGTGGCCAAGGAATTAGTCCCAATGTGGGAGAGTTCCTGGATGAAGTTTTCCCAGCCAAGTGGTTTGGTGGAGGTGAACCAATTGCTTGACCCCCTCGTTCACCTGACTTGTTCCCATTAGTCTATTTTTTTAATGAAACCAAGTGACTTTCACTCATCACCACAACATTCTGAGAAATTACGTTTGACCAAGATCATGAATGCAATTCCTGAAATCGCCCATGGACAGCTAGGAAATGTTCTTAAGCTTTTGGGAAATTGGATTGAATGATATATCACAAAATATGGCGAGTATGTAGCGGCATAGAAATGTATGCTTAGTATGTAAAAAAAAGTCAATTACGCGTCCATCATGTGTACAGCGAAACTTAATACATTTTAAAGTGGGACAAATAATTTATAAACACCCTGTATTTTAGAGCGCAAGGAAATTGGCTTCTCTGATCCGTGCGGATATGGCATCACAAAGGCGAATGCTAATCCCGCTTCATCGCCAGATCGGAACTACAAAAAAAGCCTCCAATCAACTTCCTCAAATCTTGAAAGACCGAGACAAGGGTGATTTCCACTTCGGGCAGAATAAGAAAAACATCAGGCAGCAAGTTGCAGAGACAATTATTGTGTTCTATTTCTACAACAATTGATTCTAGTCGGCTTTTTGTGCCTTGAAAGTTTAATGAGGAAAGGTTTATTAAATACGTAATTCTGGGTTTGGAATCAACCCAGCATTACTTTATTGTATTTGAGGACCGGTTTTGAGGACACTTTTAAAATGGGTTCGAACTTCAATTTTAAAAAATGCTTGTAACTTCTTCCATGTCAGAAATTTTTTTTTGTGGAAAAAAAAAGCCTCATTAGAGAGACCTCGTCCAACAGCCTTCTAAAAATGAATATGTTTGATATGCATTCTCTATTGGGCGCACAGATATAGCCTCTAGAAAAAAGGATCTTATATGAATTACCTCGTTTATAAGGTATAGGGTAAACACCCTAGTTTTTGGCCACGCTGCTACGACTCCCATAGGAAGTGGACACCCTGTGCGCAGGCCGGGAAACACTAGTAATAGGTCCTCGTACGGGAAGATGTTGATATTGTTACGGAGGGGAATGTGGGAGACGGACAACGGAAGGCATGAGAGGACGAAAGAAGCCAAGGAACAGCTGGGAATTGAACCCGGCATGCCTCCATTCCTCATTGTTAGAGGAAATCAGACCTCTGTCATCACCTTCTACTCCTGAAGAACTTCATATTCCATCCCATTCGCATCGAGCTGCTTTCCTTTTTCATCAAAGATGTCGTCATCGCTGTCCTCATCACGGACCTGTTATGATAGGATAGGACAATAGGATTTGTCTCACATCCAGGCATTTGCGACTGTTATTAAATATAATTGTTTTGTTCAAAACCATAATCTGCTTCTTATTACTTCACTTAGGCAAATTTCTTTCTCTTTGGTCTCTTCGTTTAGCATTTTTCCTGTGAATATCACATCTCCATGCAATGACTAAACAGACTATTCTCTCTGGTGCCTTCAAGTGTATTTGCCTGTTGTTTTCGAAGTTTGATTTAGTGCGAATGCGAATTTAAGAGAAGTATTCAAAAAAATGATTGAATGATTGAAAAATGATTGAAGTAACAGCGAAAAACATATTTATGACGGAGTCATTTCAACCTCACACTAATGATCAAGTGATTGCGTCAAATGATGGACTAGAGAGCTATGCTTGATTCAGGAACGTAAATCTTCGCAACATACATTTTAGCAAAAGCCTGATGTTTAATGGGTGGAAATGGGCATCGCGTTTTCGGCAGGATGAGGGATGGGTAAAAGTTGCAAGACCGCTTTTCTCCTTCCTGCTTTTCTCAGCACGCGTCGGGGGTTTGTTGTAAGTTCGAAATATTGATACATTGTCATCCCGAGTCGCCTTTCGGTTAGTTTGTAGGGAGCGCGGAACCACAGGGATTCCAAATAGCTGTAATCTGATATCTGGTCTTCATCAATCATGCGTATTGGATACTTGGTTTCCTGGAACCCTCAGAATTCATTGATGTGTTTCATTAAAAACATATCACGGTTCTTGTAATTCAGCGCGGCACAGTATCGCATGCAAGTGAATTAAGCAAAAAATGAGTTTTACGAAATTTCTCGAACGAGGATCTCAGGATGGATTGAAAACCTGTACCTGTATAAATTTGTAAGTGATGCTTCTCAGTTTTCATAATTTTCCTTCAGGTCTAGATTATTGCTTTCAATATTGCTATTGCTTTTCATCAGGGTGTCGCCAATATCTCGTCCCTCAAAAAAAGTTTTTTTTTTTTAAATCAGTATTAACATACAGAACCGCTGCTACATGGTGTTAACATGAAGCTTCTTATCGAAAAATGACGCTTGTCAAGATTACGGTGCGCATGTGAAACGCTATCAGAAATTGGTCACTAACGAGTGAATGAATTCCCGGGATAAGCATTCCCAAGTTCCGAAGTGCAGGGGGACGATGAGGAAGAACAATCTCCTCTAATTCTAAATGCGTACTTGTTTTGAACCTATGAGTAAGATCAAACTTTTAAAATCGTTTTCGTCCATAAAAAACTGCACGCATCAAATTTAATCAAATTCCGTATTGATACCCCGTTATCTATTCTGTGATTCCAAGTGTAATGATCCCTTCATGGAATACGTCGATAAGCTTGCTACGAGACACATGCAATAACAACCATGCAATCCCATGTACGAGCATGGTCCAGACGTACACATGGGTACATTGTAGACGCAGATGTTCTGGTTCCTAATACAATACTCAAAATAGGCATACGATGGCGTGCTTTGTTCCACAGAAGATTTGAACTTAAGAAACCACCGGACCTTAGGAGAAAAGTTTTCTTCTTTTCCCTTGTATTCATGTAATCACGATACCTGCAAAGTAGTATTTCGTAAAATTAAAAATATAATTTTTCAAGGCAACCAACAATTCTGGGAAATTGTAAATGCTAGGGTTTTGCTAGAAGACAAAGAAATGTAATCTGTCAGGTTATGAGTTTTAAATCTTGAACGAATGAGCGGCCAACTTGAAATGAAACAATCAAACAATGAACTTGAAAGATTGCCCTTGAAGATTGTGTGGACATGCTATCTAATGTCTCTTTGATAAATGGTGATGGCGTTATTTATTAGACAGTCAGACGTCCTGTTTCAGGGTGGAGACCTTGCTGAACTTTCACCGCCTTATCAGTGACAGTTCGCCGTCTGTCGGAGACACGGTGCCAGGTGATGATGTCATTAAAGCTCACTTCAAAGCTCCTCAAAGCTGAAATTTAAGTTTA